GTGCGGGATCTCAGGGGGCACTCTCCGCCAATAGTGGGCACCATGCACAGCCAAACGTAGCTCAGTGCGGGATCTCAGGGGGCACTCTCAGCCAATAGTGGGCACCATGCACAGCCAAACGTAGCTCAGTGCGGGATCTCAGGGGGCACTCTCAGCCAATAGTGGGCACCATGCACAGCCAAACATTGCTCAGTGCAGGATCTCAGGGGGCACTCTCAGCCAAAAGTGGGCACCATGCACAGCCAAATGTAGCTCAGTGCTGGATCTCAGGGGGCACTCTCAGCCAACAGTGGGCACCATGCACAGCCAAATGTAGCTCAGTGCTGGATCTCAGGGGGCACTCTCAGCCAACAGTGGGCACCATGCACAGCCAAACGTAGCTCAGTGCAGGATCTCAGGGTGCACAGGAGGAGACGACTGTCACCCGGTGGATCCTAGCTAATTCGTGAAACCATTTGTAAACACAGGTTGTTGTTGTTGTGGTGATTGAACTGTTTCTTTAACTCACGATTGACACATTGCTGGATAGAGTACTCCATCACAAAGTCATAACTTCCTCTAGAATGGATTACAAACATGATCAGAGGTTTATTCAGTGAACCACAGTCAGTTCTAGACTGTAAGCCTGTATGAGCAGGGTCCTCATCTACCTATTGTTCCTGTAACATTTCGCTGTTGTCTCATTTGTTAAATAACCCTTTTATTGTAAAGCGTGGAATAAACTGGAGCTATATAAATACCAATAATAATATTAATTCAAAACATTTTTACAAGATTTAGTCAATAGGTGTCACTGCCAGAATAGGGAAAAGATAATGGAATATTCTAAATTACCTGAATCAGTTAGCCAGAATCTGATTTAAACATCTGTCTGATATTTGATGAAATCATACATCAATGGGTTAATTATTTACTGAACACTGATTGGTGGGGAATTAAAACGTGAGTGGTGAAATTCCGGATTAAAGAACCAAATGGTGACCATAGCCGTGTTGGAGGTCTTCAGACTAGCGATTGTTACCAGAGTTACCAAAGACCCTTACCGTGCTAGTATCGTAAAAGAAAGAAAATCCATACAAATGTTAGACGAGTGTGTCCCCTAGTGGTCACTTATGGTAAAAACAATAATTAACAAATCACTGTAAATGGTGTTTAATAGAAAACTGTCAGGGTTATTAACTTAAGTGAGAATTTAAAGTGAATTAGGGACTTATCTACTAAACAACCGAAAGTACAAAATAATAGAGGGTTTTTCTTAATTCTGGTCTTTCAGCTGTTTAGTACAAGTCCCCATCGGCTAAAAGCGCCATAATTTGGTAATTCATTTGTTTGGCTTCTGAAATAGTTTTGTTCCAAATATAACGGGTAACCCGTTATATGCTGCAATTATAAGCCATCTGTAATACGTTGAAAACAACCTCATAGTGTTATCCTAAAGGATTTCTGAAGATTAAATAAACCTACTCAGTGAGACTGGGGCCACAAGCTTCACCTACAGACTTATCTCCATCTTCCGTAAGCAGTGAGAGGGACAGACTCCGTGTTCCATAGCTCCTTCTGTCTGTGTCACCCTGCAGTGAGAGGGACAGACTCCGTGTCCCATAGCTCCTTCTGTCTGTGTCACCCTGCAGTGGGAGGGACAGACTCCGTGTCCCATAGCTCCTTCTGTCTGTGTCACCCTGCAGTGGGAGGGACAGACTCTGTGTCCCATAGCTCCTTCTGTCTGTGTCACCCTGCAGTGGGAGGGACAGACTCAGTGTCCCATAGCTCCTTCTGTCTGTGTCACCCTGCAGTGGGAGGGACAGACTCCGTGTCCCATAGCTCCTTCTGTCTGTGTCACCCTGCAGTGGGAGGGACAGACTCTGTGTCCCATAGCTCCTTCTGTCTGTGTCACCCTGCAGTGGGAGGGACAGACTCCGTGTCCCATAGCTCCTTCTGTCTGTGTCACCCTGCAGTGGGAGGGACAGACTCCGTGTCCCATAGCTCCTTCTGTCTGTGTCACCCTGCAGTGGGAGGGACAGACTCCGTGTCCCATAGCTCCTTCTGTCTGTGTCACCCTGCAGTGGGAGGGACAGACTCCGTGTCCCATAGCTCCTTCTGTCTGTGTCACCCTGCAGTGGGAGGGACTGACTCCGTGTCCCATAGCTCCTTCTGTCTGTGTCACCCTGCAGTGGGAGGGACAGACTCCGTGTCCCATAGCTCCTTCTGTCTGTGTCACCCTGCAGTGGGAGGGACAGACTCCGTGTCCCATAGCTCCTTCTGTCTGTGTCACCCTGCAGTGGGAGGGACAGACTGTGTCCCATAGCTCCTTCTGTCTGTGTCACCCTGCAGTGGGAGGGACAGACTGTGTGTCCCATAGCTCCTTCTGTCTGTGTCACCCTGCAGTGGGAGGGACAGACTCCGTGTCCCATAGCTCCTTCTGTCTGTGTCACCCTGCAGTGGAGGGGACAGACTCCGTGTCCCATAGTTCCCTTCTGTCTGTGTCACCCTGCAGTGGGAGGGACAGACTCTGTGTCCCATAGCTCCTTCTGTCTGTGTCACCTTGCAGTGGGAGGGACAGATTCCGTGTCCCATAGCTCCTTCTGTCTGTGTCGCCCTGCAGTGGGAGGAGCAGACTGTATATCCAATATCATATGTCCCAGCATTTCAAATGGACAGAGAGGGACACTTTAATTTTCAAATTAATTTTTAATTCCAGCAATTCTCACCCTGAAAGACAGTGAAAGGATATCTGGGACTTACCTCAGTGATTGCCATTTAAGCGAGATCCTATTCTTGGCTGGTTGGACGGCTAGCTTGCCTTTATTGTATTTCAGTTTACTGGGCACATCCATATTAGTTACTGGCATTGTGGTTGTCGCAGTGGATGTAGTGATGGTAATAGGAGTGGGTGACGCTGGGCGGAATGTCGGTGTCACAGCTTCACAGGCCGTGCACGGACCCAGCGATGAAGACGATGTATTAAATAGTCTTTCTTGTACCCCAATGTGTATGGAGGAAGATGTCCGTTTTTCACATCGCGTCCCCACAAAGCCCGATTTACACACACACGTCTGTGGTTTCTTGCACAGACCCCCATTCTTGCAGCGAGGGGTGCAAATGGCTGTAAAACATTCAAAAAATAGAATACTTTAAGGGGTTTGTTTACTAAACACCAGATTGGAGTGAATTGAAATATTTATGCTAAAGTAACTGATTTGGAAACATAGAATCAGAACTTGGCTTATTTTAGTCGGAATTGTACAATACAATTTTCAAATCTACTCCCCTTGCTGCTTAGTGAATAGGAGCTTAATGTAACCAATCATATACAAGTATTAGTAGCTTTAGGCTTGCTAAGGATCATGGGAAGTGTAGTTTACAAACATATGAAATGCAAACATTAGCTATTACTGCACTGAACATTGATTTTTCTTGGAATGATATAAATTTAAAATCAACTCATTATGCAAATATAATATATTATATACATGTGTTTAGACATACACAATATACCACATGCCTGATATTCTGTTTTTTAATAAACTGTAACCTTATACGGCGTTATATTTCATTTATTCATTACATTTGCTGAATGTTTTATCTCTTTGACATGGGCTATCTTTGCATAAACTGTTAGAAATGCAGATATTAATCTCACGGGCCGGATCCGCTGTTCAGTTTGTACTGATGTGTCTATATACCGTAATACAGCATCACGTAAGCAGTGATAACAGAGTTTGTGACCAATCGATCTTAAAGGGACAGTGCAAGTACGGACTGTACTGTATCTGATCAGCTACTGTGTTTCCCCAAATATAAGACAACCCCCGAAAATAAGCCCTAGCTAATCTATGTTCGGGGAATTTTCCTCGTACACAGATTCGCGGGATTTCATTCGAGAGTGAGCTCATCCATGTTCGTGGAAGTTTCCCCAAACATATATTTGCAGGATTCCATGCCCTAGTGAACTGGTCTATGTCCAGGGGAATTCCCTTGAATGTAGACCTACTTTCTAGCACACGTTTTTCCCCGAAATAAGACCTCCCCCGAAAATAAGCCTTGGTGCATTTTTCAGGGTGGGGGCAGGGGGAATTAATACGAGACCCGGTCTTATTTTCTGGGAAAGTCGGTATGAGAATCATCTGTATGTGTTTCAGGAAGCTTTAGGTGAGATTTTGGATAATAATGTGTAATGATAAGTCTATGGGATATGCCTGCTAATAGAGAGTAGCGGAGGACGCTCTGAAGTTTGCGAGGACGCAGGAAAATCTTGAATGAGAGGACCTGGTTAATGCATTCACAGTGACAGCAACGCTCTAAGAGGTGCATGAGACCATGGCCCAGGAAGTGTGCAGCTATCGTGGGCAGCTGCCTAATTGGTCTTATTATAGAGTAAAAATAATGAATAATACATTTACAAGTAAATGCTCTCCCATGTATTGAAGGCACGTTAAACATCTGTAAAACCCTCACCTCGGGTGCATGTCCCAGTCTTTGGGGCCACAGTCCATCCTGGGCAGCACTGGGCGGCGCAGACATTGACACTGGAAAGAAAAAGAGGCAATATATCATAACTTTATAATCTGACGGACGCCATGCAGTCATCACCAGAGGCGTGTTATTAAAGCAACGCTCCCAGCTGGTCATCACCTTAATATCTAAATGCATTATATCAGTTGAAAATATCTAATCAGTGAATACATAATTAAAGAATTGAAATGCTGCTTCTGGTCCAAAGTTTGCTAAAAAGTCCTAAATTTTGCAGTTTCCTGCAGTGGTCTTAGCGTAGTTCAGCCGGGCTCAGCCAAACGTAGTCGCCCCTTGGTTCCTTAGTGGCAGCACCAAGCGTATTTATTAATCTCTGCCCAGTCTGGGTTTATAAGAGATATATGGCAGCAATCTGCACAAAACATCCATTGGTCAGATGGGAATCTCCCGAATTGCAAACACACGAATACTCAAACTCCTGAACAGGAAACTCGAAACTGGTTTCACTTTCAAACAGATGCAATTTACCTTAAATAATTGTATCTCAATCTCTAAATTGAACTTTAATCACATACAGGAGGCTCTTGCAGGGTCTAGCAAGCTATTAACATAGCAGGGGATAAGAAAATCTTAATTAAACAGAACTTGCAATAAAGAAAGCCTAAATAGGACTCTCTTTACAGGAAGTGTTTATGGAAGGTTGTGCAAGTCACACGCAGGGAGGTGTGACTAGGGTTCATAAACAAAGGGATTTAACTCCTAAATGGCAGAGGATTGAGCAGCGAGGCTGCAGGGGCATGTTCTATACACCAAAACTGCTTCATTAAGCTAAAGTTGTTCAGGTGACTCTAGTGTCCCTTTAACTTAATTATCCCCAGGCAGAAAAAAAAACCCACACATTTTTATAAAGTCCATTAAGTACCCCAAAACACAGCATATCCCCTGATAGCCCTGATCTGGGTGACCAACATATCCAAAAATCACCCAGATCAGATCAGGGGTTCAGGCGAACACAGGATTTCATGCCCAAAACAGTTCCATAGAATCGAGGCTAAGTGCCGCTGGAGGACCGACCGGGAACCGCAAGGTTTTCATGCCGAAAACAGTTCCTGGGAAATCAGTGCTAACAGTCGGTCAAGTTCGGTAGTCTTTTAAAGGTTTCCCTGCAGGGCCCATATTCTGTGGGCAGGAGACTGGCAAGCAGGCCCCACCAAGTACAAGTGGCGAGGTTACTTTTGTCACAGGGTGAAACCAGTTATATAGATAATGGCGACTCTAAAATAGCTCAAACAAGTGATGGAGACACATAAAGTATAACGCATGCAAATTAAACGCCAGTTAACACCAATTTTTCTGCCTAAATATCGAAGCTGGAGAAATAGCTGACTTGGCGTATGTTTCCAATTTGGCTATTTTGGCGTATACATTGCAGTTCTCCACAGTCCTGGGTTAAGTGAATGAGCCTCAGTAAAACCGATTGCCCATTCCAGCAGTTTTATCCTGTGTGGGCGCCTTCATGTCACTGTCCATTGGACTTTGCTAAACTCGATGCAGCTCAGTCTCTATGTCAGCCATCTTAGCGGCGCTGTGAGCGACCTATGTCAGCCACTATCTAAGGAGGCAGCCGGATATGTCTGCTCTTATTTTATCTTACGGGAGCTGTCTTTGCTGAAACACTTAAGTACTTGAAGAAAAAAATAAAAAGATTAGAAACGTTCCTCTTCAAAGTCAGTGCCCATTCATTCCACATGTCCAGACCATGACACTAAACACCTCAGAGGTTTCCGCTTTACGCCACCTATATCCAGCAATGGATGGAACTGGACGCCATTAAGATATTTATCATCCATCTGCTTGATCCATTCATCCTCCCACACCTCTCTCATACTCGGATAAAAGCTTCTGTGTCTAAGGGGCTCGCACCCCCAGCAGACATCCGAGCTGGTCTCCGAGCTGCAATATTCGTTCACCCCCATATTCTGCTGTCGTTTTAACCTGTGAGATGCTGGAACCTGTGGATTGCTTTCTGTGAAGTGCCACATACTGACTGCACGGACATTTTACAGAAACTGCCCAATCCACCTTGCTGAGGGGCATCACTTTAACATTTCGGATAAGATTTTCAAATTATTTACTTTTTTTTTATTTATTTTTTTATTAATCTTTTAATATTTTATTCATTTTTGAATATTATGAAAAAAAATAATTTTAAAAGTTTATCCAACAATTAAATCAAGGCAAACTGGGAAATTATCAACAATTCTTATTTAGTGAATATCTACAAATGATTCTAATCCGAGTGAATTATTCACATAAATTATATCATCTAAGAAATCTAATTTTGGTGCTTCTTCACATCTCTTGAGCATTGCTGAGGAAATTAATCTGTTTCTTATGTCCCCACTCCTTACATTCCCTGAGACCAATAATACATTTACTGAGTCCCATGTAGGAGCAAAGTGACCTAATGACAGCGACATGTTTAATGGGTTAAAGGGACAGTCCCATGTAGGAGCAAAGTGACCTAATGACAGTGACATGTTTAATGGGTTAAAGGGACAGCCCCATGTAGGAACAAAGTGACCTAATGACAGTGACATGTTTAATGGGTTAAAGGGACAGTCCCATGTAAGAGCAAAGTGACCCTAATGACGAGAGCATGTTTAATGGGTTAAAGGGACAGTCCATGTAGAGCAAAAGTGACCTAATGACAGCGACATGTTTAATGGGTTAAGGGACAGTCCATGTAGGAGCAAAAGTGACCTAATAGCAGTGAGCATGTTTAATGGGTTAAAAGGGACGGAGGTGTCCATGTAGGAACAAAGTGACCTAATGACAGTGACATGTTTAATGGGTTAAAGGGACAGTCCCATGTAGGAGCAAAGTGACCTAATGATAGGGACGTGTTTAATGTGTTAAAGGGACAGTCCCATGTAGGAGAAAAGTGACCTAATGACAGGGACGTGTTTAATGTGTTAAAGGGACAGTCCCATGTAGGAACAAAGTGACCTAATGACAGTGACATGTTTAATGGGTTAAAAGGAGAGTCCCATGTAGGAGCAAAGTGACCTAATGACAGTGACATGTTTAATGGGTTAAAGGGACAGCCCCATGTAGGAGCAAAGTGATCTAATGACAGTGACATGTTTAATGGTTAAAGGGACAGTCCCATGTAGGAGCAAAGTGACCTAATGAGCAGCTGACATGTTTTAGTAGGTTAAAGGGACAGTCCCATGTAGGAAGAGTGACCCTATTGACAGTGACATGTTTAATGGGTTAAAGGGACAGTCCCATGTAAGAACAAAGTGACCTAATGACAGCGACATGTTTAATGGGTTAAAAGGACAGTCCCATGTAGGAGCAAAGGGACCTAATGACAGTGACATGTTTAATGGGTCCCATGTAGGAACAAAGTGACCTAATGACAGTGACCTGTTTAATGGATTAAAAGGACAGTCCCATGTAGGAGCAAAGTGACCTAATGACAGTGACATGTTTAATGGGTTAAAGAGACAGTCCCATGTAGGAGCAAAGGGACCTAATGACAGTGACATGTTTAATGGGTTAAAGGGACAGTCCCATGTAGGAGCAAAGTGACCTAATGACAGCGACATGTTTAATGGGTTAAAGGGACAGTCCCATGTAGGAAGAAAGTGACCTAATGACAGTGACATGTTTAATGGGTTAAAGGGACAGTCCCATGTAGGAAGAAAGTAACCTAATGACAGTGACATGTTTAATGGGTTAATTGGACAGTCCCATGTAGGAGCAAAGTGACCTAATGACAGTGACATGTTTAATGGGTTAAAGGGACAGTCCCATGTAGGAGCAAAGTGACCTAATGACAGCGACATGTTTAATGGGTTAAAGGGACAGTCCCATGTAGGAGCAAAGTGATCTAATGACAGTGATATGTTTAATGGGTTAAAGGGACAGTCCCATGTAGGAGCAAAGTGATCTAATGACAGTGACATGTTTAATGGGTTAAAGGGCCAGTCCCATGGAGGAGCACAGTGACCTAATGGCAGTGACATGTTTATGGGTTAAAGAGACAGTCCCATGTAGGAGCAAAGTGACCTAATGACAGTGACATGATTAATCGGTTAAAGGGACAGTCCCATGTAGGAGCAAAGTGACCTAATGACAGTGACATGTTTAATGGGTTAAAGGGACAGTCCTATGTAGGAACAAAGTGACCTAATGACAGCGACACGTTTAATGGGTTAAAGGGACAGTCCCATGTAGGACCAAAGTGACCTAATGACAGTGACATGTTTAAAGGGTTAAAGGGACAGTCCCATGTAGGAGCAAAGTGACCTAATGACAGCGACATGTTTAATGGGTTAAAGGGACAGTCCCATGTAGGAGCAAAGTGATCTAATGACAGTGACATGTTTAATGGGTTAAAGGGACAGTCCCATGGAGGAGCACAGTGACCTAATGACAGTGACATGTTTAATGGGTTAAAGGGACAGTCCCATGTAGGAGCAAAGTGACCTAATGACAGTGACATGTTTAATGGGTTAAAGGGACAGTCCCATGGAGGAGCAAAGTGACCTAATGACAGTGACATGTTTAATGGGTTAAAGGGACAGTCCCATGTAGGAGCAAAGTGACCTAATGACAGTGACATGTTTAATGGGTTAAAGGCACAGTCCCATGTAGGAGCAAAGTGACCTAATGACAGTGACATGTAGGAGCAAAGTGACCTAATGACAGCGACATTTTTAATGGGTTAAAGGGACAGTCCCATGGAGGAGCCCAGTGACCTAATGACAGTGACATGTTTAATGGGTTAAAGGGACAGTCCCATGTAGGAGCAAAGTGACCTAATGACAGTGACATGTTTAATGGGTTAAAGGGACAGTCCCATGGAGGAGCACAGTGACCTAATGACAGTGACATGTTTAATGGGTTAAAGGGACAGTCCCATGTAGGAGCACAGTGACCTAATGACAGTGACATGTTTAATGGGTTAAAGGGACAGTCCCATGTAGGAGCAAAGTGACCCAATGACAGCGACATGTTTAATGGGTTAAAGGGACAGTCCCATGGAGGAGCACAGTGACCTAATGACAGCGACATTTTTAATGGGTTAAAGGGACAGTCCCATGTAGGAGCAAAGTGACCTAATGACAGTGACATGTTTAATGGGTTAAAGGGACAGTCCCATGTAGGAGCAAAGTGACCTAATGACAGTGACATGTTTAATGGGTTAAAGGGACAGTCCCATGTAGGAGCAAAGTGACCTAATGACAGCGACATGTTTAATGATTTAAAGGGACAGTCCCATGTAGGAGCAAAGTGACCTAATGACAGGGACATGTTTAATGGGTTAAACGGACAGTCCCATGTAAGAGCAAAGTGACCTAATGACAGTGACATGTTTAATGGGATAAAGGGACAGTCCCATGTAGGAGCAAAGTGACCTAATGACAGTGACATGTTTAATGGGTTAAAGAGACAGTCCCATGTAGGAGCAAAGTGACCTAATGACAGCGACATGTTTAATGGGTTAAAGGGACAGTCCTATGTAGGAGCAAAGTGACCTAATGACAGCGACATGTTTAATGATTTAAAGGGACAGTCCCATGTAGGAGCAAAGTGACCTAATGACAGGGACATGTTTAATGGGTTAAAGGGACAGTCCTGTGTAGGAGAAAAGTGACCTAATGACAGCGACATGTTTAATGGGTTAAAGGGGCAGTCCCATGTAGGAGCAAAGTGACCTAATGACAGTGACATGTTTAATGGGTTAAAGGGACAGTCCCATGTAGGAGCAAAGTGACCTAATGACAGGGACATGTTTAATGGGTTAAAGGAACAGTCCCATGTAGGAACAAAGTGACCTAATGACAGTGACATGTTTAATGGGTTAAAGGGACAGTCCCATGTAGGAGCACAGTGACATAATGACAGTGACATGTTTAATGGGTTAAAGAGACAGTCCCATGTAGGAACAAAGTGACCTAATGACAGTGACATGTTTAATGGGTTAAAGGGACAGTCCCATGTAGGAGCAGAGTGACCTAATGACAGTGACATGTTTAATGGGTTAAAGGGACAGTCCCATGTAGGAGCAAAGTGACCTAATGACAGGGACATGTTTAATGGGTTAAAGGTACAGCCACATGTAAGAGCAAAGTGACCTAATAACAGTGACATGTTTAATGGGTTAAAGGGACAGTCCCATGTAGGAACAAAGTGACCTAATGACAGTGACATGTTTAATGGGTTAAAGGGACAGTCCTATGTAGGAACAAAGTGACCTAATGACCGTGACATGTTTACTGGGTTAAAGAGACAGTCCCATGTAGGAGCAGAGTGACCTAATGACAGTGACATGTTTAATGGGTTAAAGGGACAGTCCCATGTAGGAGCACAGTGACCTAATGACAGTGACATGTTTAATGGGTTAAAGGGACAGTCCCATGTAGGAGCAAAGTGACCTAATGACAGTGACATGTTTAATGGGTTAAAGGGACAGTCCCATGTAGGAGCAAAGTGACCTAATGACAGAGACATGTTTAATGGGTTAAAGGGACAGTCCCATGTAGGAGCAAAGTGACCTAATGACAGGGACATGTTTAATGGGTTAAAGGTACAGCCACATGTAAGAGCAAAGTGACCTAATAACAGTGACATGTTTAATGGGTTAAAGGGACAGTCTCATGTAGGAACAAAGTGACCTAATGACAGTGACATGTTTAATGGGTTAAAGGGACAATCCCATGTAGGAGCACAGTGACCTAATGACAGTGACATGTTTAATGGGTTAAACAGACAGTCCCATGTAGGAACAAAGTGACCTAATGACAGTGACATGTTTAATGGGTTAAAGGGACAGTCCCATGTAGGAGCAGAGTGACCTAATGACAGTGACATGTTTAATGGGTTAAAGGGACAGTCCCATGTAGGAGCAAAGTGACCTAATGACAGGGACATGTTTAATGGGCTAAAGGTACAGCCACATGTAAGAGCAAAGTGACCTAATAACAGTGACATGTTTAATGGGTTAAAGGGACAGTCCCATGTAGGAACAAAGTGACCTAATGACAGTGACATGTTTAATGGGTTAAAGGGACAGTCCCATGTAGGAGCACAGTGACATAATGACAGTGACATGTTTAATGGGTTAAACAGACAGTCCCATGTAGGAACAAAGTGACCTAATGACAGTGACATGTTTAATGGGTTAAAGGGACAGTCCCATGTAGGAGCAGAGTGACCTAATGACAGTGACATGTTTAATGGGTTAAAGGGACAGTCCCATGTAGGAGCAAAGTGACCTAATGACAGGGACATGTTTAATGGGTTAAAGGTACAGCCACATGTAAGAGCAAAGTGACCTAATAACAGTGACATGTTTAATGGGTTAAAGGGACAGTCCCATGTAGGAACAAAGTGACCTAATGACAGTGACATGTTTAATGGGTTAAAGGGACAGTCCCATGTAGGAGCACAGTGACCTAATGACAGTGACATGTTTAATGGGTTAAAGAGACAGTCCCATGTAGGAGCAAAGTGACCTAATGACAGCGACATGTTTAATGAGTTAAAGGGACAGTCCCATGTAGGAGCAAAATGACCTAATGACAGTGACATGTTTAATGGGTTAAAAGGACAGTCCTATGTAGGAGCAAAGTGACCTAATGACAGTGACATGTTTAATGGGTTAAAGGGACAGCACCTAAGATCATTAGTGCTCACCTGTCCCCGAACAGAGCTGATTCCTCTAAGTATGTTATTTATTAGACCTAAAAGTATAAGAAAATTCTTGTCTTCATATTCAAACCGATTTCCGAAAACCACTGAACAGATGACATTAGACACAGCTTTGCTGAAATAGAAGATGGGATCCAGGAGTTGACCTGGTGAAGCAGAACAAAACATAATTATACAAACACACTTTTACAAAACCTTTTCCAGGTTATGGTTCTTGGAGTGATTAAAGGTCACTATGATAGGTGACCAGACCCAGTGAACAGGACAACAAGTCCTGGGTGTGATCAATAAAACATAAAGGTAAGTATATAAGGTAAGTGAACATTGCTCATTATAATAAAGTATAATGGTGTTACAGTCAAATTATCTGCAATAGTGCTTTGTCCTTTTCGTGTGTGAACATCACACTGAATCAATGCTTCTCTATGAGGAAGGTTCAGTGTCTCCATGCAGAGGGTGGAGACATTGAATGTCAGTCACACTGTGCAGCACTGCCCCAGGAAGCCCCTATAGCAGCCATCGGAGGAGTGGCCAGTGGAGGTATCCCTCGGTTGTAATGTAAACACTGCATTTTCTCTGAAAACCAAGCTAAATGTCTCATCCATTGCTTGTTGCCAAAGTCTTAGTTGGGAGGAGTGTTTATGCAATCAGGGGACTGTAGCTTTTTTTGGTTTTGTTTTTTTTAAATCCATGAGCTGATGTAGTTTTTTTCTAACTATTTGTCTGCAGACCAAATAGTCTGGGGTTTAGAACTCACTTCCCAAAAGCCAAGCGAGTTACAATGACCACATTTGTTTGGTCCAGTCTTTGGTTAAAATTGATGTATTGTAAATGCCCTATACTTTGTACAGAATTTGCATGTGGAAAACATCGATTTTAAAGCTGTAAATACAAGAATTACAAATCTGTTTAGAGTCTGGTCATTTTCACCAAATCCATTTGGAATCAAATCAAATCAGTATTTAGTGATTAAAACCATCCGTGTTTGATGTGTTTCTTTAATGTACAGTATCTCTCAAAAGTGAGTACACCCCTCACATATTGTAAATATTTTATTATATCTTTTCATGTGACAACACTGAATAAATTACCCTCTGCTTCAATGTAAAGTAGTAAGTGTACAGCCTGTATAACAGTGTAAATTTGCCGTCCCCTCAAAATAACTCAATAACTATAAACCGTTGGTATTTTGTGTGGCCACCATTATTTTCCAGCACTGCCTTAACCTTCATGGGCATGGAGTTCACCAGAGCTTCACAGGTTGCCACTGGAGTCCTGTTCCACTCCTCCATGACAACATCATGAAGCTGGTGGATGTTAAAGACCTTGCGCTCCCCCACTTTCCATTTGAGGTTGCCCCACAGATGCTCAATAGGGTTTAGGAGACATGCTTTGCCAGTCCATCACCTTTACCTTCAGCCTCTTTAGCAAAGCAGTGGTCGTCTAGGAGGTGTGTTTGGGGTCGTTATCATGTTGGAATACTGCCCTGTTGCCCAGTCTCCAAAGGGAGGGGATCATGCTCTGTTTCAGTATGTCACAGTACATGTTGGCATTCATGGTTCCCTGTAGCTAACCAGTGCCGGCACCACTCATGCAGGTCCAAGCCATGACACTCCCACCACCATGCTTGACTGTAGGCAAGACACACATGTCTTTGTACTCCTCACCTGGTTGCCGCCACACACACTTGACACCATCTGAACCAAATAAGTTTACCTTGGTCTCATTGGATCACAGGGCATGGTTGCAGTAATGCATGTCCTTAGTCTGCTTGTCTTCAGCAAACTGTTTGTGGGCTTTCTTGTGCATCATCTTTAGAAGAGGCTTCCTTCTGGGATGACAGTATTGCAGACCAATTTTTTTCAGATTCTCAGAGAGTTCTTTGCCATGAGGTGCCATGTTGAACTTCCAGTGGCCAGTATACACCAAATGTAACACACCTGCTCCCCATTCACACCTGCGACCTTGTAACACTAACGAGTCACATGACCCTGGGGAGGGAAAATGGCTAATTGGGCCCAATTTGGACTTAGGGGTGTACTCACTTTTGTTGCCAACAGTTTAGACATTAATGGCTGTGTTGAGTTATTTTGAGGGGACAGCAAATTTACACTGTTATACCGGCTGTACACTTACTACGTTACATTGTAGCAGAGTGTCATTTCTTCAGTGTTGTCAAATTAAAAGATATATTTACAAAAATGTGAGGGGTGTACTGACTTTTGTGAGATACTGTAACTGAGATATAATCTGATTGTGCCGGTTATATGTTATTTGATCCATAATACAGCCAATCCTTCTATATTTCAATTTCTGTGACTGGTCCAATACGCAGGGAGAGATCTTATTTATCAATTTTAATTGTAATTTACTCACCCTTGGTCTTTCGTAATTCCTCAGTAAGAAAATAAGATTCTCCCTGGATCCTCTCCTCAATGCTCCTCTTCCCCACCCCAAAGTTTCTCATCGTCATCAGAGAGAATCGCCGCAGCTGTTTCCAGCGCTCACCGTTACTGTTAACGATACCTAATGTAACGAAGAGGACAGAACAGGAAATAATGACAGTCAACGCAGGCCCTGCTGCTCTTCTGGACCAACCCCATAAACCCATTTAAAACAAACAAACAAAAGATTTAAAGATTGAAGCTCCTATAATGTGGGGATATGGGTATTGCAGTGCTGGCTAGCATAGACCGATTAGCATTCTGTCAGATCACGCCCATATTACTGTTATGGTCGAGTTTGCCTTTTAGCACTCAGGTATTCTGTGATTAGTTCAATAAAGGGATTTGTACTAGTCCATATATAGTAATCAGTAATACAAGGTTTGTAATAGGCTTTTACTGTTGATCTCGAGATCAGGTTGTGATTTAATATTTTTTTTTCTAGAGAGAATTATTCTAGTGGGGTGTACTTTATTTATACAGGTGATTACTAGAGGATATGATACTTTATTTATTTTTTGCTACACGGTTACAGATCACTGTTTGCCTACTCTGTTAATCATTACTATCCATAATCAGCCATCCTTTTAACCACCAGCTCACCAGCAGGATAACATTTTAGTTTAGCGTTGCTATCTAGTAATTATTATCCTGCTCTCTCTCTGTGGAGTTACTTTATTACTCTTTAGGTAGAGACGAAGTATCTCCCTCTGTAGCTAAGTATTTAACATTATACTGTGAAGACCTTTAACAACCTCAGTCTATAGCATTTGTTCCTTTATGTTCGTATTCACAGTCCACTGAACTACACTGAATTATATTGAAGCAAGTCTGATAGCAGTTTCATATACCCCCCCCCCTTCCCTATTTATAGTTTTATTGAATTCCGTATGATCAGTAACCTGGGGTCAATCTACAAATATTAGATGGTTAGCGTTAGATGGTTAGCATTAGATAGTATTAGATGGTTAGTGTTAGATAGTTAGCATTAGATAGTATTAGATGGTTAGTGTTAGATAGTTAGCATTAGATAGTATTAGATGGTTAGTGTTAGATAGTTAGCATTAGATAGTTAGCATTAGATAGTATTAGATGGTTAGTGTTAGATAGTTAGCATTAGATAGTTAGCATTAGATAGTTAGCATTAGGTAGTTAGCATTAGATCGTTAGCATTAGATCGTTAGCATTAGATAGTATTAGATAGTTAGCGTTAGATAGTTAGTGTTTGTCACATCCTGTTCCTAGCTACGAATCATTCTGGCATTGCCTTCTGGTATCCAGTACTCTTTTTACAATTCTTGTTTAGTTTTTCTTTGTTTTTCTGGTTTTCTATTCTATGTCTGGTTTTCTTTATGCTGGGTTTCTGGGTTCATTCCTGTATTCCGTTCCTGGAATTCCCAGTCTCCTGGATTCCATTAAATGTTTGTTTTTTGTTGCCACGCCCGTTTTATCCTTTTTGTTTCAGTCTGTTCTTGCAAACTTTGGTCTCATTCCTCTGCTCCTTTCCTTGCAGGTAAGTGCTGTGTGTGTTTTATTGTTGTTTATTTAGTCATACATATCTAAGCAGTTAGGACCCACCATAATTGGAGTACTTTGGTGGGCTGCATACATCTTGGCCATTTATGTATGTCTAAATCTCCAATGTTTATTACATATATAGTACTTAGTTATGTCTCCTCTTGTTTTGCCTTGTATCTCTTGTCTTGTTTTATTTTTGTATTGCATTCCCAGTTCATGTACAGTCCATGTCCTGTTCCCTCATGTATTGTGTACATGTTCTGGGTTCTACTTTCTGTCCTGCTCTGGTTCTGGGTTCTTCTAGTCTTGTCTTATCTTGTTTGGTGTCTGTTCTAGTCTTACCTTGTTTCTAGCACTGGACACATATCTGCAAAATATCAAGCTCCTGGGATCCACAGAAGCTGCATCAGTGCCCTGGTAGGGGGCGTGTGGTTACCCTGCACCAGATCCTTATAGTTCATTTCCATGCTGTGACTCCTACCATCATCAGGCATACAGTTTCCAGACGCCACCCATGACAGTGTTTTAAATAGTTAGTATTACATGGTTAGTATTAGAGAGTTGGAGTTAGATAGCTGGTGTTAGAGGGTAAGCATTAGAGGGTCAGTGTTATAGGATTAGGGCTAGAGAGTTAGCATTAGAGACAGAGGTGGCTCTCTAATTAGGCGATTTAGGCCACTACCTAAGGCCTCGCATGGTCTGGGGCTTTGCAGCCTCCTAAATCGCCATAGGGTAGACTGACATGTTGGGTCTTTGGCCTATGACCCAGGGCCCGACACAGGAGGGGGCCGGGCGGCTTGCCTATAATGCCGCTGGGTGCGAGACCCCTCCAGTAAGTCTGCCCAGGAGAGAGCCAGCCTTCAGTCTGCAGCTCTGTCGGGTTACCACGGCCATGCTCTGACTGGAAACTTACCACGTGGTCTGCAGCTCTGCACCTGGCGAAAAGGGAGCCCACCAGGGATACAGCCTGCCCACAGGACAACCAGGGATACAGCCAGCCCACCGGACCACCAGGGAATACATTTAATAAAAATGAATTTTTGACCCCCTCCCCTGTCACAGTCTCCGCTCCCCTACCACCCCCTTCCCTGTCACAGGCCCCCCTGACCTGGCACAGATACCCTTCCACCTGTATCCTATCACAGACCCCCTGCCCTGTCAACCCCCTTATCACCCCTGCCCTGTTACACATCCCCACCGCCCCCTGCCCCAGACCCCTACCACCCCCTGCTCTGTCACACCCCTTACCACCACCTACTCTGTCACACCCCCTTACCACCCCCTACCGCCCCCTTCCCGCTTAATCTGTGAACCAAATGGCAGGAAAATGTACCTTTAAGAAGTCTGGCTTAGTATTAGAGAAGAAAGGATCAGGTTTGTTCTTACCATGACCTCCAGAGCTCATCTTGTCTAGCAGTGGCATGTGCCCCCGGCCACTAAATACGTCTCCATTGTCAATAAGAGCCAATTTCACCACGTCATAGCCACAGAGCACCACAACGCGCTCCATCCCCATGTAAACGGTATATACCGGACCATACTGCTCGGCAAGCTGCCGGAGGAGGTTAATAGAGTTCATAGTTTTTAGATAATCAAATGTATTACTCATTTTTATAAATGTATCCTTTATATCTTTAACTCAATATAGGGATGTTTCAGGATGGGAATTTACTCATTTTGAATCCATTATTTAGAAAATGCATTGAAAATCTTAACAAAAATCAGTTGACAATAAAAAATAAGAATTTAAATCACATCTTTTGGCAGGTTCTTAACAATAAAACCAGTCCTGATAGCCACTTTGTTTTCTATCCTCAATCATACAGATACATAATCATGAACAACAAAGGTTTATGGGGAGATACATTTTACTTGTCATCTTTGTACTATAGAAAGTCTTAACATTCTGCAAAATAAGTTTTTTTGGACTGAAAAAGGGGAAACACTGCAGGTTACTTACTAGGGACAAAAGATAGTTATATTTAGTAAATACAGATGATTAATTAAAAAAAAAAAATCCACCCAGTATAACTAACGGTAACCTAACCTACACAGTACACCTAACGTGTGTGGGAGCCTGGAGTGTCCCCTTAATAATATAAACCCACCCAATATAACTAACGGTAGCCTAACCTACACAGTGCACCTAATGTGTGTGGAAGCCTTTAATAATATAAACCCACCCAGTATAACTGTAACCTAACCTACACAGTGCACCTAACGTGTGTGGGAGCCTGGAGTATCCCTTTAATAATATAAACCCACCCAGTATAACTAGCTGTAAGCTAACCTACACAATGCATCTAACATGTGTGTGAACCTTGAGTGTCCCTTTAATAATTTAAACCCACCCAGTATAACTAGCTGTAAGCTAACCTACACAATGCATCTAACATGTGTGTGAACCTTGAGTGTCCCTTTAATAATTTAAACCCACCCAGTATAACCAACTGTAACCTAACTTACCCAGTGCACCCTCACATATGTGGACGCTTGGAGTGTCCCTTTAATAATATAAACCCAGCCAGTATAACTGTAACCTAACCTGCACAGCACACCTAACGTGTGTGGGAGCCTGGAGTGTCCCTTTATTAATATAAACCCACCCAGTATAACTAACTGAAACCTAACCTACACAGTGCACCTAACATAGGTGGACGCCCGGAGTGTCCCTTTAATAATATAAACTCACCAGGTATATTTAGTTGAATACACCTTTAAACATGTCACAGTCCCTTTACTCACCCTAATAAAGGATTTGAATGCCTCTTTTCCACTGAGCTGTAATATATTCCCTAAAAGAGGTAGAGGAGTGGGGCCAGGGGGCAGCCTTATCTTGTTTTCTTTCCTGCCTTGTATTAAATTAAAGAGCAGGAAAATCACACATGCTGACAGTAGCAAGGCTGTAACTCCGAGGAAGTCCATTTTTCAACTTTCCATCCCAGTGTTTAGTGTTCGTGGATTTACTGCTGTTATATAGAGTCCGATATACAGTCTCACATCTTACGTAATATCATATGTTTGCAGAACAGGTGAACTCAGGGTATTGACCAATGACTGACATGTTATTTAAACAAAATATTGTGTATAAGTAACCCAATCCTGTTTTTCTCTTAATCCTCTGAAGTAAAATGTGTGGTGAATTCCGACATAGTGACAGGTATGGGGTTTATACATAATAAGAACTTGGGAGTCACGTGTCCACTCTGGAATTAGGAAAGGCATAGAAAATAGTGTTTTTAAAAGGTGTTTTTAACATGTGTTTTTTTCCCTTGTATGTACTAAGGTGCCAGAAACATTGAATTTGGATGAAGGTCTCTATATAATGAAGGCTAAAGACTCAGGTTATGTATCTAGTGTGATTGAGTACTCTAGATATAGATAATGAATTTAGTGTGATTGAGACATTTAGGCATACATATTATGTATCTGTTGTGATTAAGGACAGAGGCGGCTCTAGACTTTATGAGGCCTTAGGCGAAACTCAAACATGAGGCCCCACTAACAAAAAAGTGTCACATATACACATTGATGCATAGTTTACCTGTGTATGTGCCTGAGTGGGTGTCTGACAGAGAGTATCCTTGTGTGTGAATGTATGTCTCTGTAAGTGTCATAGGTGGAGGTACGGAAACCGGGGCCCCTGAGTGCCTGAATATAAGTGGGAGTCTTCAGTGTGGTAATGGACTATCAGGGTCTGGTGCAGGGTAACCACACGTCCTCTGGCGTTGAGCACCAGCGTTTGCGCGGCCACATACCAGAAACCTGATGCAGCTACAGCGGATCCCAGGAACTTGGAGCTTGATATGCAGACCTCCCAGGAACTGGATAGGGGGGCTCTGCAGCAAGAATGTATCCAGTACAGAAACAAGGCAAGGTTAGGATAGTCACCATACATGAAAACAAGACAGAACTAATAGAACCCAGAACAGGACAGAAAGCAGAACCCAGAACATGTACACAAGACATGAGGAAAACAAGAACAGGACAGGACAGTACATGAACTGGGAATACAAGACAAAATAAAACAAGACAAGATATAATAGGCAAAACAAGAGGAGACATAACGAAGCCCTATATATGAAAAGTATGGGGATTTAGTCACATTATATGATCATACATTGCACAAGCCTGCCAACAACGCCAATGTACCCCATATTCGGCAGGTCCTACACTGCCTAATGTTCGCTAAAAGAACCATACTAAACCACAATAGCACTTACCTGCAAGAAAGGGCAGAGACATGAAACACTGCTGCAGGTCCAGGCTGAAACAAAAGGAATGATGGAAAACAAACGGGTCCGGCAACATAAAACAAACTTTTAAGTGAATCCAAGAGACTGGGAATTCCAGGGACGGAATACAGGAATGACCCCAGAAATCCCAGCAATAAAGTAAACCAGACATGGAATAGACAACCAGAAAAAACAAAAACTAAACAAGAATTGTAAAAAGAGTACTGGATACCAGAAACCAAAGCCAGACATCTTTGCAGAACAGAGCAGGATGTGACAGTGAGCATGTTTGCGTTTTTGCCTGAGACCCTGTGTGTATGGGGTAGCTGCTTGAAGTGTCTTGTGTGTATGGGGAGGTGATAGTGAGAGGGAGGGGGGGTGATGGTGAGAGGGAGGGGGGGATGGTGGTGAGGGGAGGGATGGTGAGTGGAGGGGGAGGCAGGAGGCTGTGATGGTGAGGGGGGTGATGGTGACAGGAAGAGGGAGGTGATGGTGTGGGGGTGATGGGAGAGGGAGAGGGGTGATGTGAGAGGGGTGTGATGTGGGGGGTGATGTGAGAAGGAGGGGGTGATGGTGAGGGTGAGTGAGGTGTTGAGGGAGGAGGCTGATGTGGTGAGGGAGGAGGGCTGATGGTGATGGAGGGGGTGATGGTGATGGAGGGGGTTGATGGTGAGGGAGGGGGCTGATGGTGAGGAGGAGGAGGGCTGATGGTGAGGGAGGGGGTGATGGGTGAGGGGAGGAGGGCTGATGGTGATGGAGGGGGGTTGATGGTGATGGGAGGGGGGCTGATGGGTGAGGGGGCTGATGGTGATGGAGGGGGGATGGTGATGGAGGAGGGCTGATGGTGAGGGAGGGATGTTGATGGAGGAGGGCTGATGGTGATGTAGGAGGTGATGGGAGGGAGGGGGTTGATGCTGATGGTGAGGGGATTGATGTTGGAGGGATGGAGGAGGGGCTAGTGGTGAGGGAGGCTGATGGTGATGAAGGAGGGCTGATGGTGATGGAGGGGGTTTATGGTGAGGGAGGGGGTTGATGTTGATGGTGAGGGGGGGATGGTGAGGGGATTGATGGAGGGATGAGGGAGGGGGGCTGATGGTGATGGGAGAGGGGCTGGATGAGGGAGGGGGGGGGATGATGGTGGAGGGAGGGGTGATGGTGATGGAGGGGGTTGATGGATGGAGGAGGGCTGATGGTGATGGAGGGGGTTGATGGTGAGGGAGGGGGGTTTATGGTGAGGGAGAGGGGTTGATGTTGATGGTGAGGGGGATTGATGTTGAGGGATGGTGTGGGGGATTGATGTTGAGGGATGGTGAGGGAGGGGGCTGGTGGTGAGGGAGGGGGTTGATGGTGATGGAGTTTATTTCACAATCGGCATTTAAGCCTTGAGGTAGTAAGGTGCCAATGTTAAAAATCCACTTCATTTCTGCTTTACTGAGGAGGCTACTACTGTCTCCTCTTCTCCAGTGAATTTTAATACTTTCAATACCCATAAAATCTAATCCACTGGCATCCCCCTTATGAACCTCTAAAAAATGTTTAGATACGTTGTGTTGGTAATGTTTCCTTTTAATATTGTAAATATGTTCTCTTATGTGTATCTTGAGGGCTCTTGTTGTTTTCCCTATATATTAGAATCCACGGGGACATATTAACATGTATATCACGTTTTTAGAGTTACAAGTGATAAAAGATTTAATATCATGTTGTATTTTATTGGTAAATGAGGTGAATTTTTCAACAGTTTTATTTTTATTCTTTCTTAGTGTACAACCTCTACAATTATTACAATAATAAAACCCAAATTATCACTTGATACTTATTTTTTCTCTAAAAAAAATATTGGTTAATATCTGCCTAAAATTATTAGCCCCCCTAAAAGTTATCTTAGGTTTACTTCTAAATATACATTTGTTTTGTATAATTTTACATAAATGAGAAGTATTGAAACAATAGTTGAAAATTAAGGGAATCTCATTATCCTCTTCTATATTAATTTTTGGTCTATTTTTATAGTGCAATAGTTGATCCGTAGGTTTACTTTCTATTTCCTCACGTACTTGTTGAACTGGAGTGAGATCATATCCTTTCTATATAAATAGATTTTCAAGAATATTAGACTGACTTTTGCATTGCTCAAGTTCTGAACAATTACATCTGAGTCTAAGGAATTAGCTTTTGGGAATATTGGTCAACCATGGTTTAAAGTGACAGCTTAAAATGAATAAAACTATTCAGATCTACCTGTTTAAAAAAAGTTTTACTATGAAACTGTCCATCTTTTTTTCTTTCTTTTTTTTTCTGTGCACAGTTGTACATGGGAGTTTCTTGTTGCCAGATTGCCTGGGTCTCAGAGGCCAATGGCTTGCTGAGTGAGAGAGGTGTGTTAACCCCGTTATGTTTGGGGGTAGTGGTACCTATCCCAGGAGTTGGGGTGTGTTGTCTGCATGTGCATACAAGAAAATAGAAGGAAACGAGATAAAAAAACAAACAAACAAAAAAAAAACACAGTTGCTGAACATGATAAACTCTTAATTGGTTTGGGTAAAAGTCCAAGCAAGTAGTTGGTCGGTGTGGTTTTCGATAGCCAGATGGTTGTTCAGCGGCCAGGTTGGCTCAGTCCCAGATAAGGGTCAGGTGTTGGGGCGCTGTGGCTATTCCGCCAGTTGTCTGGTTGAGGTGTTGGGTCCCAGGTGACATTTTGATTGTCGTCTGTAGTAGGCGGTTGACTCGGCTGCAATCCCATTGCAGACAGGAAGGCTGGGGCTCCCATGGGGGAGGTAAGGTTGTGGGTGGTCCCAGCATGATGGACAATTAAGGAGCCGGTGTTCCCCCATCTGTATGGTATGTTCGCTTTGCGTAGAGTGGACGTTACTGGGCCAAAGGATTTGCGTCTAAGCAACGTGGCTCTGGTGAGGTCTTGAAAAAATAATAACTTTGCGTCCTCAAATTCCAGTGGCATTTTGCCTTTCAGGGCAGTCATTATTTGAATCTTGTCATGTATGGTGACACATCGCAGGATGACATCTCTGGGGGTGCCCGGTGCGGTGCGTGCTGAGCCTGTTACTCGGTACATACCGTCCAGTGTGATTTTAATATCTTCCAATGGATTCTTGGGGAGTTCCATATATGTCTCTGCATTTCCTAATTAATTATAAATCTCTTTAATATATTTTTTTTCTTTGCCATATCACCACTCCACACGCCTCTTTCAACAGGTGTAACAAAGAGAAAAATATATTAAAGAGATTTATAATCAATTAGGAGATACAGAGACATATGTAGAGCTCCCTTAGAATCCAAGAATCCATTGGAAGATATTAAAATTAAATTTCAAGTTTTTTTTTGATAAAGGTTTGGAAAAAGGAATTATTAACTATATTATCCTATGGCCTTTTACATTTGCATTTTTAGATTCCACATCCAATGTTTATCTGTGGTATTTATGCAATAGTGTGTGCTCTCACTTTTGTATTTTGTATATATTTTAGTTGTCTAATATGGTTTATGTATAATAAACATATGGTTTTTTTTTTATCTGCAGAATTTTAACATTAAAATGATATACACTTACACCCTAAACATTATGGTATAAAGAGTATAGATGAATCATTTTTATGTTTGTTTTAGACATTTTTGTTTTCTGTGAAATTCATTAATAATATATATATATATATCTATATATTATTAAGAATTCATTTTTTCATCCCAAACATTTCTAGTATTAGAACACTGTTCCATCTATAAACTACCTTTTTATTATAACATAAAAATTTTGACAATTGGAAAAGCCATATAATCTGTTTAAATACAATTAGCGAGCAATGAAGCACAGCTGATAGTTACGAGGATAATTCCCAAATCCACTAATCTCTGGAGTCAGATCAAGCTCCTCTATATCCACTGAGGACCTCAGGGTGAAGTTCTGCAATATGTTGGTGAAAAACAGAAAGAGTTCCATCCGTGCCAAGCTCTCCCCGACACAGATCCGCTTTCCTTCAGGAAACAGAGAGAAAAATCACATTTTTAGAACATGTTCATGTTGCAAAAAAAATGGGTATATGCAAAGTATAATCTTGTGGTGCTTACAGTACATGCTTCAAAATATAAATAAAGTCTCTGCTTATGGGTATTTCTAAGAAATTCAGGGAATTCAGAATCTAAAAAATACAAGCAGTATGCTAAATGCATTTTTACATCTGTCAGAAAGTTAACATAAGGGGATATATTTCAGAAATATTCTTTAAAGGCCGTCTGGACAAACTTTCATTAAACATGAACTTATTCGTTTTAAGGTATTATTGAACTAGATTAATCATTTATTTACACAACTTACATGCAAAGATGCTTAGTGTAGTTTATAAGGTTGGTGGTACATTAGCACCATCATGGGTCGTTTACCTGTTCCCAAACAGAACGGAAACCTTGAAATATTCCATTAAAGAGACTGAGCAATGTGAGAAATTCCTTGCTTTCACATTCGAAACAATTTCCAAAAACCACAGAGGAGATTACATTGGATACAGCTTTGCCGAAAAAGAAGGTGGGATCCATGGGCTGACCTATGGGATCACAAATAAAAACAAAATTAAATAAAACAATACTGATTTACTAAACAAGATCTCAAAAACATAAAACCATTATGAAGTGGAAATGAAGTGAATTTAAGTCCAGAGTATCCAATCTGACACTATAGATGACTTAGAGCAGCGTTTCCCAAACCAGTCCTCAAGACCCACCAACAGTCCAGGTTGTGTTAGTATCCCCATTGAAATAAAATAGGGAAATACATAAATCCTGGACTGTTGGTGGTCCATGAGGATTGGTTTGGGAACCACTGACTTAGAATTTTTTTTGGTTTGGCTACTCGACCTTACATTTGAAATTCACTTTGAATTGGCACTTTAGTAAACAACCCTGAGATTGTATACATTATATGTGCTATAATATGATTATAATAATTTACATTTTCTCTTTCCGGCGATTTGCATAATACAGGAATTTAGGGTAGTATAATGTTTGGTCCAATTAAGTAAAATATAAAGCTAATCATCACCATATTTATTATGCACAACAGATATATCCTGAGTCAGGAAAGGTCTGGAAAGGCAGCTCAAAGCAGCCGTGTAGACGGGTGTCTTAAATTTAGTTTGTTCTCTTTGGATTGTTTTCGTTTGTTCACGTATAGCACCTTAAAAAAGACATTTCCTGTATCTCTATCATCCATTCCGCCTGTCGCAGAGTTGAATGTGTTTTGTCAATTTGTATTTCAATGAAGATATAAAAGAAAGGGTACAATATATAGAAAGTCAGGGTCGGAGTGATGTTTGGTGTGTGTTCTGTCTATATTTTGTGTGAATTTGCCGACCAATAGTAGCCATGAGATAACTGTGAAATTCCTTTTGTTATGTATAGTTCATAAACCGGAGAGAGTCATTTATTTAACCTGCCGTTCTGATGTTGGAGAGTTGACTACACGGAATTGTTGTGTAAGAAAATAAGCTTCTTCCTGGATCCTCTCCTCCATGCTCCTCTTCCCCATCCCAAAGTTTCTCAGTGTCATCAGAGAGAATCGTCTCAGCTGTTTCCAGCGTTCACCGTTACTGTCAACCACACCTAATGCATTCAATAAAAAGAGTGGGTTACAATTCCAAAGATCTTTCTAAATGAACAGAGACCTACATGACATTAGCACTTTACTTGCCAGTCACAACTTGATGCAGGAATTTATTAGCACTCAAGTATATGCCAGTGTAGTGGAGAACTGGTCTTTCACAGGTTAACTCCACTAAAGATCCCAGTGAGGCTCAGGAACAAGTAATAAAATACCATATAACAATAAGTACAGCAAGCAATGTAATCCACGAATATCCCCATACAGATCCCAATGACTGGATGACACACAGCATCAGGAGCAGAACTGAACTTTTAATCACTCAACCTTCTTTTAAAGCTTTCTCCCATGCAAGGGAGGGATTCACAGTAATTATTACAGTAGCCAATAGTGTAACAGTTACCTCCCACACATCTCCTCCCCTCAGTTTGACACATAATCCAATTGAATATACTGTAGTTTTCCCCGAGTTCTGGATGTCCACCAAAACAAGCAGCTAGAATTATATTTTGGGTACCCCCCTGTAGCCCAGATCTGGGTGACGAACATATTCAAAATCCACCCAGATCGGACCAGGGGTTCGGGAGTTAGGTGGAAGGTGAAATTTGACCGACCGCACACGAGGTGGTATCAGAAAAAGGCTCCATGTGTTTTGGCCCTGCGGTCGGTCTCCATTCGGTAGTTAAAACATACAGTAATCCTTGCCATCCACAGATAATCTTCTATTCGTCTGTATTCCCTTGTTTGGTACATTTATTTTACCGAACGAGGGGCTGACTGGCCCCTCCGTTCGGGAGTTATGGAGCTCTGGAGGTCTCAGCGGTGTTCGGGTGTTTGAGTGTCCGATTTGAGTTCCAGACACTCGACAACCAAACACCGCTGAAATTTTCTTGAGTAAGATGGCCGCCGCACGCGGTTTGTATGCCGAACGGCGACCACACAGGTACATACAATATATCAATTTCACAGTCAATTAAGCTGCAGTTTCAGAGTGTGAAAGCTTAACGAGGTGCACACTTCTCACTGGGGTGGTCTAATGGTTCGGTAGTTTCATTTGTATGAAAACTACCAAACAATCATACGAAAGCTACATACACTTACAGTTATCCAGTGAAACAATTACACAAATACATTTTTAATACGAATTCTTGAGGACAGCCTTAATGCAATCCGCTACAGCCAGATCCCTAGAAGTGTACAGAGCACCCAGAGAAAATGGCCATACAAATTAATTCAATAATGTCTACAGAGATAGCCATAATTAAAAAAACAAACAAACAAAAAAAAAACATAACGAGCAAAAACCCATAGTAATGCAAAAATTCACACAGAAACCTATGGACAGGGAGGATTATTTGACTCTACAATAAGTTTCTGGGCACTCCCAGCATGCACCTGGTACACGTCTAAATGAGCAAAGGACAGATAAAGTCACCAAGTGCAATGACATTTTCTGGGCACAGTGGTCGTCTTAACCCTCCTTTACTGGTTAAATACACCTCTAGTGTCTATCCACTATAGGCACTTCCTACTCTAAACTGATTAAAACTCAGTTTGGGAATTCTGCCGATAGCATCATTAGAGTGCGGCGTTTTGTTGTCTATGACTATTTCTAATCTAGTCCATGACTGTTTCCAATGCAGTCTATGACTAGTTCCAATCCAGTCCATGACTCTTTCCAATCCAGTCCAGTAACATACTCATCCTCACCTTGTGGTGTCTGCAGTAATTGCCTCCCTGACAATAATGGAAGTGCCGCTCAGCAGCCATGCGTCAGTATATCTGACTCCTGCGACATGTTGGTGGACGCCGGCTGCTGAAGATCCACACCATTTTGTAGCCCCACAACTGCCCATGATGGTGACGAAGTTGGCGTGGGGGTGATATCACGTGGGAGACGTGCACGCACGTTCTGGGGTCAAAGGCTGATTTCAGCCAATCAGATCTGTAAGAGGCTTATTTAAATGCATTTTTACTTTTCGTCATTGTCCTGTCATGGTTTCCCTTAGTAGGTTATCCAAGAGAGTGTTCCTGAGTGTTTATTTCTGGTTATTGACTTTGGCTTCATTTTGACTTCCCTGTATTCTGGTATCCTTGACTTTTGGCTTTCCCTCATCGTTATGTTTCCTTCTGTGTCCCTGACCTTGGCAAGTTTACTGAATATTCTCTGGTATGTTAAGTCCGGCAATTCTAAGATCCGGTAAGACGTTACCTTTAGTCCTAGGTGTGACACAATTCTGCGTGCTGGATCAACTAGTATCCTGACAAGTCCGTGACTCTTTCCAATCTAGTCCGTGTCGCTTTCCAATCCAGTCCATGACTATTTCCAATCCAGTCTATGATCATTTCCAATCCAGTCCGTGACTATTTCCAATCCAGTCTCTGACTCTTTCCAATCCAGTCTATGACTATTTCCAATCCAGTCCATAACTATTTCCAATAGTATATTAATTAATGTCAACAAATTTTATTTTTATTTTTGAGACTATAATTTCCTTTTAACTGACACACGTGTATTAACTCCTTCAGGACCAAAAGCAACAAATCTTTCTCTAACTTTAAAAACAAACTGTGCCTCTACTAGGAGTTAGTTGGTGATACAATATAGTGCCTAAACAAAAAGCTGCTCAACACATAAAATGGAACACTCTTATTTCCACAATCAATCTTAGATTTACAGAAAATATATGGTATAGAATATATACCAATTAGTGGAGCGCTATACAAATAGAAATTGTGCTGGGGTTGACTTACCCCATCAATAGGGTATAACAACAAACTTGAAAGTACAATCTTTGAGGTACATATGGAAAAGAAAAAAACAGAAATATATAGTTTAGATGGTCTTGGATAATAATAAATGGTAAATAAATAACTAGAACCACTCACATGGTCTGGAGCCTATATGGCATTGGCTCTGTAAAGTAAACCTTTTTGCTCTTAGGGCAGCAACACACCACTCGCTCAATGATGTTCCTGCAAGAGAAATATAATAGAGAAAAGCGACCAACTGTGTGGTAAAGTACAAGATACGGATAGTACACCTTATGGTAAGTATTTTGATCACCTTTAAAAGAGCCTTCAGTTCCTGGCTCTAAGGATAATCAGCAGGGTGCCACTTTCTGGGGATGGCACTTCCCCAATACAGACTCCTAGAGGCTTCAGGGACTTGGTTTGGAATAACTTATAAAAATTTCTTGTAAATAAAAACACACATATTATAAGTATATAAAATAAAAAATCCAATTAAAAATCCAGCTCGGCCAAAGTGTGTTTCATTTATTTATGAGCTTCCTCAGTCAGCTGTAATGTAGCCTCTGGAATCCTTGGCCTTTTAAATGTCCTGTGAGTCTTTTGGATCCTCCCTTTTGGGATCACATGATGTTCAGTTGGCCAATCCCAAATTCAAATTGTGTGGCATCCCTTTAAGTGATTAGTTGAACCTGTATCTAGAAAACCCCTATTGGGTAATTGAATTTGCCACTTTAAATTTGTTTTCATCATTGGTGGTTGAGTGATGTCTGTCCTGCTGTGTCATATCCGGTCTGTGGTTGGTGGAAGCGTCGTCGCGGGCACTGCCGCTCGTCACATCTGCCCTCCACCCCCCGAAGGATGCGCTGTGCTGGAAACAGCCTAACTTTAATTTTAATCATTGGTGGTCAGGGGTGCCGGTCATGAGCCAGTCACTTCCCCCAAGTGGTTGGCGGAATTGAAGTTGCGGATCAAGCCGCTTGTCCTGTCCGCCAGCCTATTGCGGACGTAACTCCTGTCCATGCTTGAAATCACCTCCCGCCACGTTTGGGAATCGGTCTTGGTCTGAGCCGGTGGTGGCCGTAATGATGTCACAATATGTTGTACGTCAGCCCAAACCCCTCTTGCGACGACTCCGACTGACTCCGACATTTTGTAAGTGGGCAAGAGGGAGGGAGAAAGTGCATTAGATGGCCAAATTGAAATGATATCCCACAAAGGAGCACGTGGCTCCATATTTGGGATTGTGCAAAACAAAAATAATTGCCATATGGGAGGAGAAAGGGGAAAGAGAAAAATAAAGAAGGGGAGGGGGAGGGGGGAAAGGGGACAATATGCACATGTAATGTAGAATATAATAAAATTTAAAATGCTAAATACATTGAATGTTAAATACATTGAGATTAAACTAATAAACTCTTGCAGTAGAAATTAAGAAGGGTGTTATGCTAATATTTTTATGGATTTTTGGGAACGCCAGTTTATTTGGGACCATAATTCGTACGGGGAAGACCTGGTGCTCTCGCGTCGTTATATTGACGATATTCTTGTTATTTGGAAGGGGTCTGAAGAACATCTGCTAGACTTTTTAAAGTATTTCAATGATAACACTTTTTCACTTGTTTTTTCCCTCCATATATTTTTTTGGATTTGACCATTTCAACACAAGGAGGTCATATCCATATTAAACCGTATTTTAAATCTACTGATACCAACAGTTACATTGAATCTACTAGTGGACACCATCCTAGATGGTTGTCGGGAGTACCCAGAAGCCAGTACACCCGACTCTGACAAAATTGTTCAAATAAGGATACTTATTTAGAACAAGCTGACATTCTGACAAAGAAATTTATTGAGAAAGGTTATAAAAAAGAGATCCTGAATAGAGAAATAGAGAGAGTGGAAAACATTAAAAGAGGTGACCTTTTAATGTTGATAAAATTAAACATACTGAAAATTCCAATAAAGCATTTGAGTTCTCATTTCACACTAATTATAATTCCAAAGCTTTTGCTATCAATAAAATCTTTAAAAAACATTGGAATATTCTGAAACATGATGAATTTATAGGTCCCCAATTACCCATACATCCTCAAATAGTATATAGAAAAGGGAGAAGTTTTTCATCATAGTTAGCACCTAGTCACTTTTGAAGTGGGGACAGAAATGAATTGGAGGGTAGTAGAGGATTTTACACCTGTGGTACTTGTAAAGCGTGTAGAGGGCTACCATCCCATACACGTTCCTTTTCAAGTTTTATTACCAAAGAAACTTTTCAAATCCAAAGACGGGTAACCTGTTCTTCCTCACATGTTGTATATCGCCTCACATGTGGGTGTGGTGTTCAATATGTGGGGAGGATGGGACGAAAGGCAAAGATACATTTTTTGGAACATAAAAACAATATCAGACGTAATTTCAAAAATCACTCTCTTCCCATCCACTGTAATCAGGGTCCCCAATTTCAAACCCACAATTTTTCATGGGTGATCATAGAACAAGTATCGCTTGGTATAAGGGGTGGAGATATCACTATGAAAATGAGACAAAGAGAAGGATTCTGGATTCATAAATTAAAAACCCTTCAACCATATGGGTTGAATGTGGATTTTGATTTAATATGTTTTCTTTAACTTTTTCATTTTTTCATTTTATCTTTTTTCATTTTTTTCATTTTTGTATTCCATTTTATTTATTATTCTCATTTTTATCTTCATTTTCGTTTTTATCTTTATTTTTATTTTTACTATCATTTTAATTTTAATTTTATTATTATTTTTATTTTTATTCTTATTTCTATTTTTACTATTTTTACTATTTTTTTATTTTGATATTTTTAATTTTAATTTTAATTTTTTTTATTTTTTTATTTTATTTTCATTTTTATTTATTATTTTATCCTATTCTTTATTTATTTTTTATTGTTATATATATTTTTTCTATAACATTTTTTTCTATATTATTTTTATCTTTGTTTATATGTATTCCATTCTCTTTATATTCATGTATTCACCTCTATCTCTATATATCCACATTTTGGCACTAAGGGATATGTTTCATTAATTGATATTCTAATATACATGGTTTTATATACCATGTTAGTTTATGGTGTGAGCTAGTAGTATGCTCTTTGCTGTTTATATCATTTTGTTTTGTTTTCCTTCTCCATGTTCTCTCCTACATCATGGATCGATTTCCGCTAAGAGATGATGGATGAAGAGGGAGTTCCTTTCTTCCGGATCAGTGGAACGCATATGCGTTCCACGGAACGCTCGGCGGAAGTACCTACATGGACTTAGAATTCAGCTTACACGAAACAGGTGACACTAAGCGCGCAGATTGGCCGATGAGAAGCCCAACCCGGCAAGAGGGACATTTAAAAGAAGACTGAACGTAAGAGACTTTTTACTATTTGTTATTCATTTGATTGTAATATTGTTTTTTATTGAATTTTCCTGATGAAGTTTAATTTTTAGACGAAACGCGTAGAGCTGGTTTTACTGCTGCCTGTAATGCCAGCATTTGAAGCTTCCATTTGTCATCTTGGATAGAGGGACTAATATCTGTTGGGCATTTTTATTTTTCACTTCTTGTAAGTGTTTCCAATAAATTGTGCTTTTTATATTACCTACAATTCTATGCTATGTTCAGTTTTTCTTTTACATGTATACTTGAGGAACCAGGAATTCCTTTACAAGATTTAAACAAGATTGAAAGAAACCTTGATGGGCTTGAATTTCTCCGTCACTTTTTGAGGGCAATATTTTAGTAGGGACCCATCTACTTAACAGTGTTTCCCTATGATCGTCTCTTTCTTTCTGTTTTTGTCTAGGTGTATCTTATATTTTGTATACATTTTGTGAGGTTTTTGAGGAATCCTCTTTTACAACCTAGATTATTAAGGGAAGTAATTAACGTTATTTTTATTTTCTATTGCTGCACTTGGGTGGTCTATTGAGATACGTGTTATGATTTTGAAAAAGAAAACCCAAATTGTGGAACACAACTGCAGAAGTAATTTATAGCTGTAACTTTAAGAGCTCAAGGAGAGGTACAGATTCCTTTTATAGACTTTTAATGATGTTTTCAATTTTCCAAATATGAATAAGAGATATATATTTACATTTTGCAAACATAGGAAGCAGCTAAACAATTAGTATAATTGGTCAACAGTATACCTTACAGAGTTAATAAGAGTTAGAAAGGTATTGGCTGTAGTATCTTTTGCAGAAATAGTAAAGACAGATATAACAATGTCCTCCGTATATTAGCCGGAATGGTGGCAGGCAGTTGTAACCAATGTCCGCAGTATATTAGCTGGAATGGTAGCAGGCAGTTGTAACCAATGTCCGCAGTATATTAGCCAGAATGGTAGCAGGCAGTTGTAACCAATGTCCGCAGTATATTAGCCGGAATGGTAGCAGGCAGTTGTAACCAATGTCCGCAGTATATTAGCCGGAATGGTAGCAGGCAGTTGTAACCAATGTCCGCAGTATATTAGCCGGAATGGTAGCAGGCAGTTGTAACCAATGTCCGCAGTATATTAGCCGGAATGGTAGCAGGCAGTTGTAACCAATGTCCGCAGTATATTAGCCGGAATGGTAGCAGGCAGTTGTAACCAATGTCCGCAGTATATTAGCCGGAATGGTAGCAGGCAGTTGTAACCAATGTCCGCAGTATATTAGCCGGAATGGTAGCAGACAGTTGTAACCAATGTCCGCAGTATATAAGCTGGAATGGTAGCAGGCAGTTGAAACCAATGTCCGCAGTATATTAGCTGGAATGGTAGCAGGCAGTTGTAACCAATGTCCGCAGTATATTAGCCGGAATGGTAGCAGGCAGTTGTAACCAATGTCCGCAGTATATTAGCCGGAATGGTAGCAGGCAGTTGTAACCAATGTCCGCAGTATATTAGCCGGAATGGTAGCAGGCAGTTGTAACCAATGTCCGCAGTATATTAGCCGGAATGGTAGCAGGCAGTTGTAACCAATGTCCGCAGTATATTAGCCGGAATGGTAGCAGGCAGTTGTAACCAATGTCCGCAGTATATTAGCCGGAATGGTAGCAGACAGTTGTAACCAATGTCCGCAGTATATAAGCTGGAATGGTAGCAGGCAGTTGAAACCAATGTCCGCAGTATATTAGCTGGAATGGTAGCAGGCAGTTGTAACCAATGTCCGCAGTATATTAGCCGGAATGGTAGCAGGCAGTTGTAACCAATGTCCGCAGTATATTAGCCGGAATGGTAGCAGGCAGTTGTAACCAATGTCCGCAGTATATTAGCCGGAATGGTAGCAGGTAATAGTAACAATACAGTTACAAGAATCTTGTGAATACTTTTAAAAGGAGTGGTATACTTATATTAATTCTTGCTTCATTCGAGGATTAGCTTGTCCAAAAAACAGACTGTCTGTCTTTGAAGAGGCGATGACAGCAATGTAGATTTCCAAATAGGAGTTTAAGAGTAACGAGATCAGTAGACTCAAAGTAGAAGTTTGAATTCGAATACAATGAATTAGAACGAGGTTAGAGCTCATGAGGCAAAATCACTAAGCGATTTGATTTTGGCGCGTCTTCCCTATAAGGCATGGAAGCCTTGCATCACTCAAGTGGGAGGAGTAGAATTGCTGAACACGAAAGTAACCACGAGGGATTGGAGATAGGTGAGTTCTGACAAAGGGAATCATAAGAGCTGGAACAATCGAAGAAATTGGTGAGAATAAAATACTATAAAATGTTAGGAACTGATCAAACTAATTAAGTTGTGTATGCATAAAAAAAATTGAACAATATAAAAAACTAGATTGGGAATAAGAGTAATGTTAGAGGAAGTGACATAATTCATAATCAATATTCAAACCTTAGGGTTGTAAAGTCCCAAGGTTGAATATCCACTTCATCTAATATTGTCCTAAAATTTTGTTAAAATCTTCTCCTCTTCAATTTTCTTACATGTTCTGCCACCCTCGTGTGTAAGTTTCGTTTCGTGCGGCCCACATATATTAGGCTGCATGGGCACTCCAATAGATACATTAAAACATTAAATTCCTTGAGTGACAGGTGATGAGACTCGTTATGGTGAATTCTTGATCATTTTGTGTGTTTTTACGTTTTCTTGTGTCTTTTGTTTGCTATTTGTGCTTCTGCATGCTAAACACCCAAAAAAAACACTCCTTGTATCAATAGGTTTTATATTACATTCTTTTCTAATATGGTTTCTTTGCTAGTAATTTTATCATATTGGGTACTCTTCTAAAAATCACCCTTGGTTTGTCTGGCAAAAAATGAGATAAAATGTTTATTAATAATTTTCCTAAATTGTTGGTTACCATGGCTATAATTGCAAATGATAGGTCATCTTTCCTATATTCTTTTTCTAGTAGGCTGCTCTTTAGTTTGTCTGTCTGTTCAGTAAATGTGGTCTCCTCCTGATTCGAAGGAATTGTGAAGTTGGGATTGCTCTGAGCCAGGGTGCAAAATGGCTGCTAGTGGTGGGTAGAAAACTATTTACATCAGCCTTTTTAAAGTGCGTACTCATGTTGATTTTATTTTAAAAAATTAACCATAATTTTGGTAAAATTTGTAGTTAAAATTATACCCCGATCGTTATCATTTAATTTGTTGATAAATTTTTTTCTTCTGTTCCCTTCCAGATAAAAAATAGGAGATCAAATTTGGCTTCTTTGGCATTACATTTTAAATTTACTTTAAATTCAACTTGAATTCTCACTTTAGTAAATAGCCATGAAAGAGTCTGTCCCTCATGAGGTAGGGTGACACAGACTTAAGGGAACTATGGGCCACATACTGTGTCCCTCCCACTGCAGGGTGACACAGACTCAAGGGAACTATGGGCCACATACTCTGTCTCTCCCACTGCAGGGTGACACAGACAGAAGGAGCTATGGGACACGGAGTCTGTCCCTCCCACTGCAGGGTGACACAGACAGAAGGAGCTATGGGACACGGAGTCTGTCCCTCCCACTGCAGGTTGACACAGACAGAAGGAGCTATGGGACACAGAGTCTGTCCCTCCCACTGCAGGGTGACACAGACAGAAGGAGCTATGGGACACAGAGTCGGAGACACAGACAGAAGGAGCTATGGGACAAAGAGTCTGTTCTTGCGCTGCAAGATAAAGTTTGTTCTCACCATGACCTCCAGAGCTTATCTTCTCTAGCAGTGGCATGTGCCCCCAGCCACTGACACGTCTCTGTTGTCATTCAGTGCTTTTTTCACCACATCATATCCACAGAGTACCACAACGCGCTCCATCCCCATGTAAATGGTATATACCGGACCATACTGCTCTGCAAGTTGAAGGAAAAGATTAATTAAATTTATTACTTTTTTGTTATATAATCATCTCTTCATTTGTCAATTTCTCATTTCTAATTACAGCTCTACTCATACATTAACCACCTTTACAATTTGTTTTCAATAAACTAGACATATCGATAATTTCCGGGAACCCACCGGACATTTTGCCACAGTGCTACCAGAAGTGATAATTAATTGAATTAACTTCTCAGAATTAATTTATTATCTGTATGGGATCCTAAATGCTACACACCTCTAAATCTTCTTGTTTTAAGCTAAGTTAGACTAAATTAGATTATTTATCTAATAAACTGTTTTTACTTTCATTATCTCTGCATTACATCTGAATTACTTTTAAAAGGTTTCTCCAAGATCCATGACACATTCACCATGACCACTTCATTGATTTAACTGTGAAATGCTGCACATATAGAGTTTAATCCCTCTTCTGCCAGAGATGTAACTCCACCTCTGGTAATGTAATCAATTATCAGTGTAACAAGACTTCCTGTCTAGCTAAAATGAATTCTATGCAAATGTGGTGTTTGACTTTCCTCTAGTACATATTTCATACGCTCCAGTGAGAAGCAGTGAATTCAGTCGGAGGAAGCTTGAATTGAGGAACATTGTCACGGCATTGGAAAGAAAGGTGAGTTTTAGCTATTTTCTTTTCTTCTTTACATTTTTTTTCAAAGAGGACAGGATTGAGAAGTGTTTCTCTAACTAAAAACAGTGTTTTCTTAAACGCACATATTTTTGGGTCAGAGTTACCCTTTAAGAAAACATATGTTCACTAACTTACTCATAATACAACATGTGTATAGTTTCCCAGTAATAAATAGTGACATATATATATAAAACTGGGGCTGATGTGTACTGTAGTCATTGCTGCCACCCATTGGTGATGGGAGTGAGCGCAGGACTTATCTTTTTCTATTTATATTCAATTTTTGTATCACACAGCTTTGTTACAATGCTGCCGCCGATCCCATGTGTTCCCTATTAAGGGTTAATAAGTATATATGGGTGTATATAAAAAATACCCCTCTCTGTCTCAGTGGAGATATCTTTGCCAGAAGCTCAAGGAAGCAAGGTGAAGGGTCAGTGTAGGACCCGCTTAGGGGGGTCTGCCTTGACGTTGGCAGGCGGGCATTCCCTCCAATGGCCAGCGGAGTAACTAAATTACCTCCATTTGTTTAAATATACATAGGGATTAACGAGAGAGCACAGGTAACTTGTTTTTCTTTGGTTTTTGCTATATATTGGGGCTGCTGTGTACTGTAGTCATTGCTGCCGCCCATTAGTGATGGGAATGAGCGCAGGACTATCTTTTTCTAAATATATAAAACTATTTAGAATTATTGGTGCCATTGCCACCATGCTCTCCTCCGACTGTATAAGCCTCCCGTTACAGCACAGTAATGACAATTCCCCCAGATTAAGCCATGTTATCAACATAAAGGTTTTTCCTGTTCTGTAGGGTGGACAGAAAACCAAACAAAAACCCATTTACCTTCCCCTTACAGTAATCCATAGACCTTTTGTCAGTCCCTCTGTAATTGATGTCACGCTCAATGTACGGAAGCCAGCACTGCACACCTTGAGCTGAATATCAACCAGTAATGAATCAAGTAAAATGTGCAAAGCCTTTACAAGTACCGTTTTTTTATTAGGCTGCTGAATTTACTGTATAAAGGCACATTTTCTCTTTGCACGTTGGGAACCTTTATTTTAGTAAATTGGTATTTTAGCAGTTTTTTAATATGTCATGGTAATTCTTACAATTTGTAATGTAATTGACATTTGTTTTACGGTAATATTTCTGTTTTTAGAATTATTATGAGGTCAGGGATACAGTGTCATTTATCATATTCTATACTCTTGTAATGTTTTTAAAAAGACAAAACAAATCATTATAAAATTCTGTAAATACATTTTTATTATATTGTTTGAGATTTATATTTTCATGGGCAGTGATGTATAGACGACAAAATTGCTGTCTTGTCCTAATTTCGCATGCTAGCTATAAATTCCTTGTTCCAAAAAACACTGTGCTTAACATTTAAATAAAAATAATGAATCGGTGCAGGGATATTTGTATTCGCACATTGGGTTTTATTGTGTTTGATCTCAGCACAATCTAGTTCGTACCTATACTGTGAGTTGTGGGGATATTTATGGGATGATAATATTAAACAGTCGAGAATTGCCCACTATTTCAATTCTCTTAGAGCCTAGAGATCGTTATCATGTAAGTGAAATGTATTCCATACAAATAAAATAACAATTTGTTATAAAAATAGATATAATTTATTGTGACAAATAAAATAACAATAACATTAGGCAGCATGCATGATAATAATCAGTGAATATTTAGTATAACATAAGTATACAATGGCAATGGCTAATCACAGTACAACGCTGCAGCATCACCTGTCACTTAGTAAGATTTATGAGGGTACTTCACAGACAGAAAGTAAAACTTCACACAGCGAAAAGCCATTAAACCTTGGCTAACAGTTAAATCAACTGGGTAACCCTTTCAATGCTGGCTAGATCTTCCTAGGCATATAGTATCCTATTTTCATGTAATTTTCAATTAAAATAACATTCAAACCAGCTCATTAATCATTTCCTGGAACCATCCAATCAGAATAATCTACCAGATTCTATAAGCCGAATTTTAATTTGCCTAAAAAGATATCTTATCTTATTTTAGAGCAAATCAGTACACCTGGATAAAAACAACCGTATGCTAACACATGATAATATCACATTAATAAATAATTATTCTTAATTCCACCTGCAGAATGGAATGTTTATAACTATATATTCTTTAGTTAACTAAGATTTCTAAATATTGAATGAATATAAGCAAAAAAAATAGTATATGCACTACAAATGTGGAATACAAACGTATAACTGGAAGAGTTCCCAGGTGTACCTCACAGACACCCAAAAGACAATATAGGAAAAGTAAATGGAAAAACCCCAGAATACGTATAAGTGAATATATAAATTAAACAACAACCTGATGTAGGATATGGTCCATATAATAGATTCTGTGTGAAAATCAGAATACTGACATAGCGTAATACAGTAAAAAAGGAAAAAATATATAAATATAGGTGAATATAGATACACTCACAAACGAACGTGAAAATAAGGCTTTCCGCCCTCTCTGGGGTAATATGAAGTATGATGAACGAACTGGAGAATCACCTCATCAGATATATGTAAATAAAGGAAATCAGAGATAGTGAAGTTTGTTATAAAAATACAAAATCACATTTATTGGTCACACTTACATATGTGAAAATCATAAAAAGCGTTCTCCTTATAACCTGGAACTCCATCCAGTGTGATCAGCGGTCCAGAATAGGATCCAACAGGAGTAGTTATAGGAAAACAGCCCAAAAATACAAAAAAAAAATAATAAACAGTAATTTAAAATAATATATAGTATAAGTCCATATATAGAGAGAATCCAACGCGTTTCGTCCTGTAGGGGTGTAGGACTTCTTCAGGGATCAGAAGTCCCTGAAGAAGTCCTACACCCCTACAGGACGAAACGCGTTGGATTCTCTCTATATATGGACTTATACTATATATTATTTTAAATTACTGTTTATTATTTTTTTATTTGTATTTTTGGGCTGTTTTCCTATAACTACTCCTGTTGGATCCTATTCTGGACCGCTGATCACACTTGATGGAGTTCCAGGTTATAAGGAGATACGCTTTTTATGATTTTCACATATGTAAGTGTGACCAATAAATGTGATTTTGTATTTTTATAACAAACTTCACTATCTCTGATTTCCTTTATTTACATATATCTGATGAGGTGATTCTCCAGTTCGTTCATCATACTTCATATTACCCCAGAGAGGGTGGAAAGCCTTATTTTCACGTTCGTTTGTGAGTGTATCTATATTCACCTATATTTATATATTTTTTCCTTTTTTACTGTATTACGCTATGTCAGTATTCTGATTTTCACACAGAATCTATTATATGGACCATATCCTACATCAGGTTGTTGTTTAATTTATATATTCACTTATACGTATTCTGGGGTTTTTCCATTTACTTTTTCTAAATATTGAAATCTGACTGTGATTTATCCAGTCATATATCATGTTATTAGTAAATTTTTAATTAATTTAAATTAATTAAATAAAACCAGCATAATTACCAGTTATGTAGGTATTCTCATCAGATGAGTAGGTAGTCCTAGGAAAATGCGAGTATGATTGGTTGTATGGAGGTGTGTGAGTAATAGAGAAAAGTGATGTTGGTTAGAAAGTATCAGTAAAATTCTAAGTATTTCTTGAGTTGTGTCCAAGAGAGTTTGAGAGTTGAGTGTTAGTCCCAGAGAGTGTCCTGGATCTCTCTGCATGTCCGAATCTGAATGCCAAACTCCACCAACTCCCCCTCTCTTCCCTTTGTCCTAACTTTTAAAGGGCAAGACTCTCTGTACGTCATTAGTTGATAAGGCCAATAGGAAACTGAAGGTGTGTTCAACCTGCAGATTGCAATTTAGGTATTTGATCCATAGAGGGCAATCTCGCCTTACTAAACCTTCCTATCCAGGAAAGAGTTAACTTTTCCTGATGACGATTTTGACGTGAATTGAATTATCTAAAATGACTACTATAACTTAAATTTGCTGTCAGTTCAAAGCGTTTGTATCAGTCTTTGTGGCAACTACTTTGATCGTAATTTCTAAAATTGACAGTTCTAAACCCGATTTCACCCCTTACTTACAATGGGACCTTGTAAAATTTAGAGAGTAAAATTAATTACTTAGTCTTCTCTGTCACTAGAGAAAAAAAGGTATTTGTTCTCTTATTTGACTCTATACATTACAATTAATTTATTTTTAATTTGGAAAAAGTGAAAGCTATTCTCCATTCAAGCTTCAGAGTTTTAATACTTCCATATTTACAAAAACTTATATAATTTATACTGTGTATATATGTATGTATGTATATATATATATATATATTTGCTTTTGAAAACATTGTTTCTCGAGTCCTATTTTTCAATGATTATTTTCATGATATCAATGATATAGGATTATTTTTTTTGTTATTTAGGAGTCTCCCACTAAGAAACACGCAGTGACAGTCTCTGAGCAGTATTTGTCCCTCAGATAGGTTTCTGTACTTTTATGTTCAATATGAGTAAGTTCAGTATTTCTTATAAAAACAATTCACTGAAATCATCCTTAACTATTTCACATTTGAAACATAGCATCTGTTTTTAATATATTTTATCTAAATGTTATTGTTTGAAGTACTACTCACCTTAATAGAATTCTTGTAGGCCTCTCTTCTATTGAGCTGTAGAATATTTTCCAGAAAAGGCAATGGAGTGGGACCAGGGGGCAACCTCGACTTGTTCTGTTTCTTGCCTTGAGCTACATTAAAGAGCATGAAAATCACACAAACTGTTAGTAGCAGGGCTGTAACTCAGAAGAGCTCCATTGTGGGGATACTCTGCCTGACTAATATTATATATGTGTTTAATGCTGGTATTTATACAGGTGATCCAAAAAAAGAATGAGTTTGGAAACTTGCCTGACAGCTTATCTGATATTTAATTCTCTGGTGACTGAAAGGTAAACTCTTCTTCTTGCCAAGTAGGTACACAACACCAAATCATTCTTCTTTGTAATATTTGTAATAAAGTATTTTTTTTAATCAGAACTCAAACAATATATTTCTTATATTTTCTCAATTAGGGCTATTTAAATTTATTTAAATTTTTTTTTCTTTATCTACTATTAATTAAATCAATTGAAATTTTGTTGAGCAAAAAAATGCAGGGTGCAAGAGAATACTGAGAATTGACAACAGCTCAAGTAGCCTGCCCATCTGTGAGTCCACACTAAGATCTCAAGCTGGCTTTTAGGGACCCTAAACCATTTGCATATCAGACTGATCCCACCCAAACAAATCAGTACAAAGCCAAAATGCAGGCCGGCTCCCTCTGTTCGAGAGCGTTTCTAGTCACCCAGGTGTACTAAAAAATTTAAAGTATCAATGGCAAAATTACTCATGTATATTTTTCTTATATGAATTCATAGAGGTGTTAATAATTGTAACCACACATGTGTTTCCCTTTAATAGTATAAGCCCACCCTGTATAACTATCCATAAACAATCAGCACAGTGCACCTTATGAATATGGGAACCTTAAGTGTCCCTTTAATACTATAACAAAACGTCGCCTGAGAGGGGATATGATAACATTATACAAATATATTCGGGGGCCAATACAAACCATTGTGTGGAAATCAATTCACAAACCGGACTTTACATAGGACACGAGGCCATGCGTTTAGACTGGAAGAAAGAAGATTTCGTCCTACGCAAAGGAAAGGTTATTTTACTGTAAGAACAATCAGGATGTGGAATTCTCTGCCTGAAGAAGTGGTTTTATCAGAGTCCATACAGATGTTCAAACAGCTACTAGATGCATACTTGCAAAACAGAATATTCAAGGATATAATCTTTCAATGTAGGGTAATAACTGCTTGATCCAAGGATAAATCTGACTGCCATTCTGGGGTCAAGAAGGAATTTTTTTCCTAGCTTGTTGCAAAATTGTGCTTCAAACTGGGTTTTTTGGCATTCTTTTGGATCAACAGCAAAAAACAAATGTGAGGAAGGCTAAACTTGATGGACACAAGTCTCTTTTCAGCTATGTAACTGTGCAACTATGTATGTAACCTACACAGTGCATCTAATGTGTGTGGGAGCCTGGAGTGTCCCTTTAATAATATAAACCCACCCAGTATATCTAACCATAAGATAACCTACACAGCACATCTGCTGTCTGTGGGAGCCTGGAGTGTCCCTTTAATAATATAAACCCACCCAGTATAACTAACTGTAACCTAACCCACACAGTGCACTTAATGTTTAGGAGGGCCTGGTGTATCCCTTTAATAATATAAACCTACCCAGTATAACTAACTGTAACCTAACCTACACCGTGTACCTAACGTGTGTGGGAGCCTGGAGTGTCCCTTTAATAATATAAACCCACCCAGTATAACTAACTGTAACCTAACCTACACAGTGCATCTAACGTGTGTGGGAGCCTGGAGTGTCCCTCTAATAATATAAACCCACCCAGTATAACTAACTGTAACCTAACCCACACAGTGCACTTAATGTTTAGGAGGGCCTGGTGTATCCCTTTAATAATATAAACCTACCCAGTATAACTAACTGTAACCTAACCTACACAGTGCATCTAACGTGTGTGGGAGCCTGGAGTGTCCCTTTAATAATATAAACCCACCCAGTATAACTAACTGTAACCTAACCTACACAGTGCATCTAACGTGTGTGAGAGCCTGGAGTGTCCCTCTAATAATATAAACCCACCCAGTATAACTAACTGTAACCAAACCTACACAGTGCATCTAACGTCTGTTGGAGCTGGGAGTGTCCCTTTAATAAAATAAACCCACCCAGTATAAATAACTGTAACCGTTTTTAGTCCAAAGTACGCTTTTTATTTCGCTGAGCGGCCATGTTGGGTCAGACTCTACTATTATCTGACCAAGTGCTGCTCAACCTAACACGTCTGCTCCTACAGGTTCACGCAGAGCAATCACAGCAGCAAGTTAGGTTGAGCGGCAGTTGGTTAGATAACGGTATATTACCCAACATGGCCACTCAGCGAGATTACATTGTTTTGACAAAAAAAAAAAAGCCCAAAACAATAAACATAATTTAAAATATATATAATTACATTTCATTAAATGTAGTAAACCTTTAAAAGATGAAAAGTAAAAATGTAATGACAGGACAATCGCACACTGTGTCAGTATCAGGGCTGTAATTCCTCAGATTTGCATTATTCAGCTTTACTTTGAGATATCATTGTTCTTGGATTTACTGCTGTTACAGTTGCAAGAAAAAGTATGTGAACCCTTTGGAATGATATGGATTTCTGCACAAATTGGTCATAAAATGTAATCTGATCATCATCTAAGTCACAACAATAGACAATCACAGTCTGCTTAAACTAATAACACACAGAGAATGAAATGTTGCCATGTTTTTATTGAACACACCATGTAAACATTCACAGTGCAGGTGGAAAAAGTATGTGAACCCCTAGACTAATGACATCTCCAAGAGCTAATTGGAGTGAGATGTCAGCCAACTGGAGTACAATCAATGAGATGAGATTGGAGGTGTTGGTTACAGCTGCCCTGCCCTATAAAAAACACATACCAGTTCTGGGTTTGCTTTTCACAAGAAGCATTGCCTGATGTGAATGATGCCTCACACAAAAGAGCTCTCAGAAGACCTACGATTAAGAATTGTTGACTTGCATAAAGCTGAAAGGGTTATAAAAGTATCTCCAAAAGCCTTGCTGTTCATCAGTCCACTGTAAGACAAATTGTCTATAAATGGAGAAAGTTCAGCACTGCTGCTACTCTCCCTAGGAGTGGCCGCCCTGTAAAGATGACTGCAAGAGCACAGCGCAGACTGCTCAATGAGGTGAAGAAGAATCATAGAGTGTCAGCTAAAGACTTACAAAAGTCACTGGCAAATGCTTACATCCCTGTTAGCGAATCTACAATACGTAAAACACTAAACAAGAATGGATTTCATGGGAGGATACCACAGAGGAAGCCACTGCTGCCAAACAACACACTGCTGCACGTTTACAGTTTGCACAAGAGCACCTGGATGTTCCACAGCAGTACTGGCAAAATATTCTGTGGACAAATGAAACCAAAGTTGAGTTGTTTGGAAGAAACACACAACACTATGTGTGGCGAAAAAGAGGCACAGCACACCAACATCAAAACCTCATCCCAACTGTGAAGTATGGTGGTGGGGGCATCATGGTCACACCCCCACTAACACCCAGAACAGCCCCACCCCTGGTCACACCCCCACTCACACACAGAACAGCCCCGCCCCTGCCCCCCCGAGTCACAGCCAAAACAGTCCTGCCCCTGGTCACACCCCCAGTCACACCCAGAACAGCCCTGCCACCAGTGGTGTATCCTGGTTTTGTGCTGCCCTAGGCAGGACAAAACTCAGGCGCCCCCCCCGGGCGCGACCCCCACCCATCCCTTCCCCCGCCTTCTAAATACACACACACTCACTGACAGATACGCGTACACTAGCTAAAAGAAACACAAACTCACTGATACACACAGTCAAACACACTCACTAGCAGACACACTCACAGACACACACACACACTAACAGACAGACACACACACACTAAGACACACACTCACTAACAGACACACACACACACTAACAGACACACACACATCACTAACACTCACACTCTAACACACACTCACTAACAGACACACACACACTAATAGACACACACACACTCACACTCCCTAACAGACACACACACACACTAACAGACACACACTCACACACTAACAGACACACACACAGACACACACAGTCACTAATAGACACACACACTCACACTCACTAACAGACACATACACACTAATAGACACACACACTAACAGACACACACACAGTCACTAATAGACACACACACACTCACATTAACACATGTACTTTTTAACCCCCCTCCTCAGCCTCCTTACCTTTGGGAGTGCTGGGGAGAAAGGGATCTCCTATCTCCCTGGTGGTCCAGTGGCTGCTGGGCGGGTGGCTGCTGCTGTGCGGGCGGCTGACGAGAGCTCTTCCTGTGAGCTGTCTGCTCAGCTCCCTCGCGCGCCGCAGAGTGAGGCTGGGAGCTGGGATATGACGTCATCTTCCGGCTCCCAGCCTCACTCTGCGGCGCGCGAGGGAGCTGAGCAGACAGCTCACAGGAAGAGCTCCCTCGTCAGCCGCCCGCCAATGCCGCCCAGCGCCCCAGCATGTCTTTTGAATCAATGAATCTCTATGAGGAAAGTTCAGTGTCTGCATGCAGAGGGAGGAGATACTGAATGTTTGGATACATTTTAGGCAGCCATGACCCAGGGTCAGGAATATATGTTTGTGTTCCTGACCCTTTAGTGATCCTTTAAGTGTGTGTTCCAGGGAGAGAGAGAGAGAGAGAGAGTTTTGCCTTTTTTGCTTCTGCATTTGTTTCTTTTTTTGAAGAGGGGGTAAAAGAGAGTGTGTGGCTGGGCAAGCCAGGTAGTCTGATTGCCAGGGTGTCTCCCTGCACTGTAACTTTACTGCAGTGATTAATTTTGTGTACCAGCCATCACATTCTCCCCTCTCTCACACACGCTCACTTGCTTGTTCACACACAAATTGCTTTCTCTCTGCTCTCACACTCTGCTCACTCTCAGCTCACTCTCTGCTCACTCTCTGCTTACGCCCTGCCCCAAAACTCTCAACAAAGATGGTGTCACAGGGGTGGGATTATATAGTGTGCAGAAGTGTTGCATGCTGGTCAGGGCCGGCGCGTCCATAAGGCGGCACAGGCGGCCGCCTTAGGGCGCACCGGCTCAGAGGGAGCAAAATTCCAGTGACCAGCAGGAGGGAAGTGCTCTCTCCTGCCAGGTCACCTCCTGGATCCCTGGTGCGGAGTGCGGCTGAATTGGATGCCGAGGTGGCGAGGGAGCTCTGATCTCTCTGATCTGCTCCCTCGCAGGCTGTTTACTGATGACGTCATATTCCGGCTCCCGCGGCATCAGTAAACAGCCTGCGAGGGAGCACATCAGAGAGATCAGAGCTCCCTCGCCACCACGGAATCCAATTCAGCCCAGCAGCCCCACTGGACCACCAATGAGAGACCCACGCCAGCTCTCCAGGTAGGGAGGCTGGGTGGGAAATTTAAATTTAATTTAGATTATTAATTACTGTGAGTGTGTGTGTCTGTCAATGTGTGTGTATGTGTGTCTGTCAGTGTGTGAGTGAGTGTGTATGTGAGTATGTGTGTCTGTCAGTGTGTGTGTGAGTGTGTCTGCTAGTGTGTGTGTGTATGTGTGTCTGTCAGTGTGTGTGTATGTGTGTCTGTCAGTGTGTGTGTGAGTGTGTCTGTCAGTGTGTGTGTGAGTGTGTGTGTGTGAGTGTGTGTGTGTGAGTGTGTCTGTCAGTGTGTGTGTGTGTGCATGTGAATATGTGTGTGTGTGTGGTTCTGTCAGTGTATATGTGTGAGTGAGTGCATGTGAGTACGTGTGTCTGTCAGTGAGTTTGTGTGTGTGTGTGTCAATGTGTGTTTGTCAATGAGTCTGTCAGTGTTTGTGTGTCTGTGTGCATGTGAGTGTCTGTCAATGAATGAGTGTGTCAGATAAGTGAGTCTGGCTGTCAGATATGTCTGTGTGTTTGTCATTGAGTGCGTGTGACTGTCAGTGTTTCTACACCCCTGACTGTAGCGTGGCCAAGCGGAGTGTACCGTGGTACAGGAACTTCTGTTTCCTGTACCTAGCAGGACTGTCAGGAAAAGCTCACTGTACCGGGATTCGCCCCGCTAAACCACGCTACAAGAAAGGTAGGAGGCACACCAGGAAGGGGAGGGGACCACTATGGGGGTGGGTGGCGCACCAAGGGAAAGGGAGAGGAGGGGAGAGATACCCTAAGGTACAGGAAAAGGATGGAGGGGGGGAGAGGAACACTAAGCGACAGGGAACAGAGGGGGGAGGGGAGAGGAACACTAAGGGACAGGGAAAGGAGGGGGGAAGGGAAAGGAACACTGAGAAACAGGGAAAGGAGGAGAGAGGGGAGAGGAACAGTAATGGTCAGAGAAGGGAGGGGACCATTAAGGGACAGGGAGAGGGGCTGGATGTAAAAGAACACACAGCGGGGTTTGAGAAGGAAAGAGACACACAAAGGGGCTGGGAGAAAAGGAGTCACACAAAGGGGCTGGGAGGAGTAAGACACAAAATGTGGGAGGATGTAAGAGTCATACAAAGAGGAGAGATAGGAGACACACAAAGGCAAAAATAGGAGATAAAATACACTAAAGGGAGTCAGATATTTAAAAGACGGGATAAGAAACACAAAAGGGAGGTTAAGAGGCACATGGGCGAATATGTTTTGGGGGGGGGGGCGGAAAAATGCATCTTCGCCTATGTACCCAAAATTCTTTGCACCGGCCCTGATGCTGGTAGTGCTCCCTGATTGACTGCACTATCTGTGCAGTGAAAATATAATTTTGTAAATTGTATATATACTAAACCAAAACTACTAATTATTAACTAAACCCAGACCACTTCTTTAAGATTAAATTGTCTGGGTGCTGATGTAGTCCACTATGCAATGTAAAACATTGCTGTTTAAGAAAAAAACAACAAATGTTTATTTTTCCAAACTGCTGAATGCCCGAAATGAATGCCCGAATGCTGCGTGCCTGAATTTCGAATGTCCGAACTGAATGCCATTCGGCAGTGCTGAAGTGCCGAACCGAATGCCATTGGTCCGATTTGCCAAAGCAAATACATTTTTTGGCCATGCACATCCCTCTTGAATGACATAAGCAAATGATACATGTTCTTTTCTATCCATAGAGTCCATAGAACCCGCGGATGAACTAATAAGGTTACTATAATTGTCAGCAGGAATATTTTAATGCACTAATAATTCATTTTGCATAGCCACTCTGGAGTTTTATATATAGAATTTAGAAACTGCCAACAAATTCTACAGGGCATTACAGTTCTAGAAAGGAAATATTGAAGAAGGCCTCCTTTAAGGCTTACAATCTACGAGGATTTGAAGTAGTCAGATATATATCATTTGGTGTCATTACCAAGCACACTTACTGGTGAATTACTCAGACTGGGATTCAAACCAGGATTTCCAAGTTATTAGTGATGTTACCACTGCTCTAAGCAGCTGATGTATGGGATATATATGTAAGACGAGACAGCACGGCACAGAGAATTAAGGGCAGGAGATTTTTATTAAGTATTATTATATTTTTTATATTTTTTACATGGGGTTTAGAATTCACACTCTACCAATACTTTGGTTTTGTAACAACCCACTGGGGTCGTTTTCAGTTATGGAACTTAGGTGCAGTAATCTCAGTGTGCCCCCCCCCCTTCCCTTATTCCTTGGTGAGCCTCTTTTAATCCCCAGCCCTCTGTGCCATGCCCCTTCAGCCCTCTGTGTACCACTCCCCCTTCAGCCCACTGTGCCTCTTCCCCCCAGCCCTCTGTGTGCCACTCCTATTTCAGTCCTCTGTGTGCCACTCACCCTTCAGCCCTCTGTGTACCACTCCCCCTTCAGCCCACTGTGCCTCTTCCCCCCAGCCCTCAGTGTGCCATTCCCCCTTTAGTCCTCTGTGTGCTTCTTACCCCCAGCGCTCTGTATACCACTCCCCCCTCAGTCCTCTGTGTGCCACTCCCACTCAGCTTGGAGGATACTGAAGCTGAGGGGAAGAGACAATCTTCCCCTCAGCTTGGTGGATACACCCTGGTTCCTCCCTATTAGGGATGGTCTCTATTTGGCTCAACCCCCTTCAATATGCTAACACTAAGGGGGGCGGCGTTACCTTATGGATCCCCCTTGCAGTTCGCTTTATGGGCGGTGCCTCTGAAACGTACCAGCCTCTCTAAGAACTGTTTTAACTGTGTTCCAGTGACCACCAATGATCTCAATCAGAAGCATTTACTTACTCAGGATGCGCTACTGAATCTTGTTGTATTAAGGAGAGACACATGCAAGCCATTTGTTATTCTTGTGTTACTGATTTAATTAGTAATTTTGCAGGATTGTTGATTGATAAAGTTGTGACTTGTTTAATTATATGGGATATATATATATATACCTAATCCTTTATTGAATGTATTAGATTTGACAAAAGGCTCAGGGGAGCCAAAATGTCAAAATGTTTGTACTCCACAATAAAGTCTACCTGGTGAAGAAAGTACACGGTGTGGCCAAACCTACTTTCTTGTTTCACTGGATTTGTCTGGGTTGGAGCCTGCCCTGTTTTGGAGCACTCTAAGGAGAGTACTCCCTAAAAAAAGTGTGTGTGCCAGGCATAGGCGTGCGCAGCCTATTGCATTAGGGTGTGCACCCTAAAGCACAAACACACGCCACGCGCGTGTGTGTGTATGTATCTATATATATATATATATATATATATATATATATATATATATATAAACACACACACTGCTGTGTGTGCTGTTAGTGTGCTGTGTGCTGTTAGTGTGATGTGTGTGTGAGGGTGCGTGTTTGTGACTGTGCTGTTTGTGTGTGAGGGTGTTTGTGTGTGTATGTTTGTCCTGTGGGGGTGCTGTTTGTGAGGGTGCTGTTAGTGTGCTGTGTGTGAGGGTGTTGTGTTTTTTTTAAAGGTGCTGTGTGTGTTTGTGAGGGTGCGGTTAGTGTACTGTGTGTGTGTGAGCTGTATGTGTGTAGGTGCTGTATGTGTGTGTGCTGTATGTTTGGAGGGATTTGGCAGATTAGTAAATCCTTGCTGCCATGTGCCATCCCTGGTGGTCCAGTGGAGAGTGAACTCTAGCCTGCGGGGCTAGAGTTAACTCTCGCGAGATCTGAGCGTTGCCGCAGCAACGCTCAGATATCGCGAGAGGAACCTGGCGGAGCTTCTGTCTAGAGCTCCCTGGGTCCTCTACTGCCTCCCTCCATGCTGCTGTGGGCCGGTGAGGTAGATCTTTGGTCTCCCCGCCGGCCCATGAAGGCTTAGAGCAGAGCCGGCACTCAGATAGCGCCGGCTCTGCGTGTGTGTGTGTGTATATATATATATATATACGTACACACACACACACTGACAGACACACACACACATACATACTCACAGACACACACATACACTCACAGACACACACTCACACACACATACATACTCACAGACACACACTCACACACACACTGACACACACACATACATACTCACAGACACACACTCACAGAAACACACACACACACTACTCACAGAAACACACACATACTCACAGACACACACACACACATACTCACAGACACACACACATACTCATAGACACACACACACTGACACACACACATACTCACAGACACACACATACTCACACACACACACACACACATACTCACACACACACACAAATTATTATATTTTAATTTTAAAAAACAATGTCCACCCAGCCTCCTACCTGGAGTGCTGGTGGACTTTTCCCTGGGGTCCAGTGGGGGCGGGCGCCTTTCTCCAGTTCAGCCGCGGCGAGGGAGCTCTCTGCTCTCTGCTCTCTGCTGTCTGCTCTCTCGCCGCGCGGGCTGTCTGCTGCAGCTGGGAGCCGGAATATGACGTCATATTCCGGCTCCCGGCATCAGCGCGCGGCGAGAGGGAGCAGAGAGCCGACAGCAGAGAGCTCCCACGCCGCGCGCTGAGTGGGGCGTGGGAATCCATCACCTCTTGCCCTCCCATGACAGGGGCAAGAGGTGAAACAGGGGGCACTGAGTGCCTGCAGGAACAGCGTTCCTGCTCAAAAAAAGTGCAGGAACGCTGTTCCTGCAGGACTCAAACCATAGGCGTGCCACGGGGATTAGGGTGTGCCCAGGCACACCCGGCACACCCCGTGCGCACGCCTATGGTGCCAGGTCTTCTGAAACCTTTCCAAGACAAGTGCTACACGCAGTGACCAGCAGGAGGGGAGCACTGTACTGTAGCCCACCCTGCTGCCAGTTACCCAGAGACCATGCTCCCCCAGGCAGGTGCACCGCAGGTGGCTTCCTAATCTGCATTTGTGTGTAGCAGTGTATGTATGTTTCCATATGTGGCAATGTGCCCCTATATTCCTAACACTGTATGTGTGTATGGCAGTGCATGTGTCTTTGTGACATTTGCATGCAATCACCAATATTACACACAAACACACCCCTGCATTCAAACGCCAACACTGTACACAAAACAGTCCTGCATTCACACGCCAACACTTCACACCCCTGCATTCACACGCCAACACTGTACACAAAACAGTCCTGCATTCACATGCCAACACTACACAACACCACACACCCCTGCATTCACATGCCAACATTACAGTCAAACACATACTGTATTCCATAAAGAAACATCCTTAAACTGTTTAATTACTTAGGAAACAAGGAGCTGAATATTTCTTGTTAGTGAGCTGATTGCATCACAATATATTCTTCACTGCATTACTACAACATTGCACTATACATTTCTCTCTTTTTTAAGGTCATATAATGTACATTTAAGGAGTGAGTTGTCATTTGCCTTATTTTATTTGAGCGCCACGCATATATGCAGGTTGTGGTTCTTATCACTTAGTATTTTTATGGTATCCTGCATGACGTTTGTTTAGTGGATACGGAAAACCTACACTTATGTTGTAGCATCTGAGTTTTAAATTCAGATTTACTAAGCTCCTATATTTCACAGATCACTAATAAAGATTAAAGGATCTCATATGACTTTTTCCATTTTATTATACTACTGATGAGGAGGGGGACAGTCCAGCTATGTCAATGGGTTCATATTGTAACAAATTACCTCTAATATAGGAAAGGTTTCGTCACAGATCTTACGGTAACCACAGCCTTCTCTAGGGTATACAAAGTCCAGGAAACATCCAGTTCCGTTTTCCTTTTTATTTGATGAGAAAACAGGTGCTTTAAATAAAAATAAACAAACCAAAATTCTTCGCTCTTACTAGACAGAAATAACTATCTGTAATTGGGTGGCTTTTTCCCACTTAGCAATTTCCAAGAAAACAAAATAGATTTCCAATAAACACAATTGTTCTCTCTTTATGAAAACTGCAGTATTTACAGTTGCAGGGTTAAGGGTAGTGGGAGTTGGCACCCAGACCACTCTAATGGGCAGAAGTGGTCTGGGTGCCTGGAGTGTCCCTTTAACATCTCTCCCTGGGCCATTTAGCTGAAAAATTCTCTGGCTGCTGTTTAGCAAAGCAGGCCTGATATACGGTATCTTCCTTCAACCACTATTCCACATTTTCGCTCACAATATGCTACAATTGCAGTTAGATACATGTGTTGTACAGTATGTTGGTCAGTCGTCCAGGTTGTTAAAACCCAGAATGTGGGAACATATATGTGATAGTATGACAGAATTTAAAAGGACTTTTATGGTAAATTTTTTTTCCTAATATAATGTTTGTGATCAGAATTTTTTAAATTTCAGGGTTTCTGGAGGTTTTACTTGCCTGGCTTGTTAGGTCTTCTTATTAAATTGGTATTTCGGTATTTTTACATGGAAATATGCACACTTGTGCATTGATAGAATATCTGGCTCGGGAAAGCAAATCAGAAGAACAAAAAAGGCAGAAAATGGGAGCATCAATGGAGAAGACAACATTTGCTCTAAATACGTATGCCGTATACAGTTCTAATCAATATGATTCAGCCCCCATTGAAAATCAGATTCATTGTCAAAATGTACAGACGTTCAGCTGTTTGCAATGAGTAAATCAAACAAAAGCAACTGCGATAGCTCAACACAACGAATGCTTCAAGTGGTTTCTCCAAATTCAACAAAAATGCAACCTATAATGTCTCCCCCAGAATCTCGGGCACTATAGCATTAGGAATACAGGTTTTTATTTCTAATGCTATAGGGTTCCTTTAAGCAAAGTTCCATTTTCAAGTCGGATGAAACACTTAGGGTGGAGAGACGGACCTGGTGACATTTTGTTTTTCATTGTTTTTATCTATTCATTCTTTGCCCATCATTGTGTGGTCCCTACTTCTGGAGAATTCCTCTGGACCAAAGAGTAGTTGGATTTTGATGGGCTTGTTTTCCTGATTTATTGTGTGAGTGTAACTTGAATAAAGTGTCATTAGATTTTTATATAGTATTGCACTGGTTTCTGTCTCTCCTTATTTCCCCTTTATGTTTACCGGGATAAAGTAAAGCCAAGAGGTTTTGCCTTCGTACATTGTGTTTTGCCTATATACCATCTAAGTTTGTGAGTGCAATATATTGATTAGCCTTATTTGGTGTTAGTATTTATTATACTATTGTGCCCCTATTTGTATTCGTATTGCAGATTGTCGATGTTTTAATTTTGTCTATTAAGAAGAAATTGAGGAATTTTCTTTATAACCTGCATATTTTAAGGGGAATTGTTACCCATTTCTGTGGCTCCTCTGCAAGATTATTTAATACACTTGTAATTTGATTAATTGCATCCTGAGTGATTATTTCAAACACAGATTATAACGTTTCCTTGGTGAATATCTGCAGACTTGAAGTCATGACTTTGTAGCCAAATATCACTTTTATTAAAAATTACAAATGATTAAGATGCTCTTCAAACAACAATAAATAAAACATTGGACAAATACAAAGATATCTACTGTTATCTAAAGTCCTTCTAATGGACCCTTTAGACAAAGGTTAGCAGTTGACTGAGATGGTTTTTGTAGAACAAAAATGTTTGTATCTGTAAAATTGTAACATATTTCATACTAATAGCAATAATAATCATTTTATAAAATAAATGATAAAGTATTCACATGAAAGAAAAGATGTGATAATTATTAATACATTTTAAGGCTTTTAATGTATATCATGTTCCCCATTACTTGTGTTCTCTAACTTTCAGTCATATTTTATAAATACAAGCACATAGCTATATATATACAGATATATTTTTAGTTACGATTTCATTGTTTTATCCAAAGCATTTCTGAGTAGTGGAATGCCATCTATCGACTACCATTATTATAATGGAAATGCTCAGCAGAAATATCTAGTGCAGACATTGATTCTTTGTAATATAAAAATCGAGACAACTAGAAAAGCCATTAAATCTGTTTTACAATTAGCGAGCAATGAAGCACAACTGATAGTTATGAGGACAATTTCCAAATCCGCTAACTTCTGGAGTCAGATCAAGCTCTTCTATGTCCACTGAGGACCTCAGGGTGAATTTCTGTAAAATGTTGGTTAAAAACAGAAAGAGTTCCATCCGTGCCAAGCCCTCCCCGACACAGATCCGCTTTCCTACAGAGGGTTAAAGGGAAAATCAAAGTTTTAGCACATCTCAATGGAGATTAGGATGGTCTGAATGCCACAGGATAATTCATAAGATCCTAAGAACCATATTCCGAAGTGCTGTGCATTTGGGGTAAAAGATAATAGAATATTTATAAACCAATACAAAAGGTAAGGAGGGCCTTGCCCATGAGCTGCGATCCAGCTATTGAAGCTCTTGTATACAAAGTGCCTAGTTAGATAGCCCTTGAGCTCAAAATTCAAAGGTTATAATGGGGATTTGAGACAAACGGTAGAAGAGGGAATCTGGAAGTGATGACCAAAGGAAAGTTGCAGCTACTTTTAATGTATAAAGGGAACGAGTAGGTAATTGACCAGAATATCAGTCAGTTGGAGGAGCATGCTATATATTTAGAAGGAGATGGGTGGGCGGGTAAGTGCTCGGTGACAATGAAGAATCTCGGTATTGCCGTTAGCTGGGTTTTTCGATTGAAGCCTAAGAAACAGGGAAGAGCACATGGCACCGCTGTTTGAAGATATTTACAGACAGGAGGGACAAAGGATGGAGAAAGAGGGGGTGGGGAGAGCACATGTGCTGTATACAAAAAGTTTAACAACCAGATTCTATCACCCCAATTATTTATAATTATATCACATAAAATATTGGTTGAATAAATTCAATGAAAATACAAACTTGCAGTAATAAGCAAGTGGTAACATTGTGACCGAGGATAGAATACATGAGGTTGAGTATCTTCAAAGCTTCAGTCAGTACCTTAATGTTGCAGGGAGAAGTGGAAATGAAGATTCTCAGTATTGTTGTTAGACGGATTTGTGGATTGAAGCACTATGGCTAAAATAGTATTTATGGATCTGAAATATGCTCAGAAATGGAGGATAAGATCAGGTGTGGTCTATAGTTAAATTGTCCTGATATTCTGTTTCCTAACTTAATGGCTCAGATGAACATTCCAGGGGCAAAGTGAGCAAACCTGTAACTTCTCTCTGTATTTTCACAGCTCAGATTTGGGCAGCACATAAAATAACTATTAGACACACTCTAACTGTGCGTATTCTGCCATCTGTGCCAAGTGTCGCACCTATGTGGCCAAGTGCTATATTTAAATTCATGTGTTAGTATTTTCTATATTTTTACCTTGTGTGTCCCTCACAGTCACAAATTCCTCTGTTTGTCACGTGTTACCTTCAATAAACTGTTTAATTTTCAAATAGGTTGTTTTACCTCTCTGAGGGAGACCTAGGTTATTTGGCAACCAAGGACAAATTAACCTGTTTTCACAATCTCCTTTGTATATATTGTATATAGAATTGTGTATCTCCTAACTCTTCTCACCTTCTTATGAATCTCTTAACCCACACTCAATTACCGATATTTCAGTTTTGCCGAGCTGAATTAAGATGGAGGATGAGGCTTTGTAGGTCCTTTACCTGGTGTGTCACTGAAGCTGTGAGCAGTGCGTTGAGTGCCCGGGTGTGACTGAATGCCATGTTTTTACCTCCACCAATCACATTGCTACGTGCAGATCCATTGACAGGCTGGACGGAGATACATCTGCCATAGTTCTGCTCAGTCATGCTATGAAGAGTGACAGTCTGAGAAGGTAATGCTGTGTCCTAAATGAACCAATCTCCCATCCCTCTCCAAGGGAACTCTATCCCTCTTAGTATGCTAGTTCTATGAGTTAGTTATCTTTAAAAAGTTTTAGGGAAAACCACATACCAGAGGAAAATGGCATGAAGGCATCATTTTTTAAGAATTTCCCCTCGTTATCCAGAAAATGGCCCGGGTTGAATTCATGGGGATATTTGAACTGCTTAGGGTCCTGCAGGACTGAGCTAAGCACTGGATAGACAGTGGTATCCTGAGAATGGAATGGAGAGTGAACATGTTATGGTAATAATCAGACATTACCTTGCCCATAACAACAACAATGATGTAACGGGAAAAGGAACGGGAGAGGATATTTATGATATAAGAAAAGAAACACTTCTTTGGGGAAGATGTTTGAAATTGTCATTTATTAAAAAATATATATATGTTGCACAAAAAAAGAGCTAAAATAAAATCTATGCATCATTCATGAAAGAATTTTGCCAAAATGGAAACTGAGACCCATGTATGAGTCATTGAAAGGGAAATAGATTGAAACAATACTTGGCAGATATGATAATGGGTGGTCAGGTCTTTACCTTTGGAATAATATAGTCCTGGATTTCAATGTCTCGGCTCACTTTGTGTGGAATTCCAAGAGGTAAGAGGTCAATGAATCTCTGAATCTCATGGATGACTGCATCGGTGTACGGCATGCGAGAACGGTCTTCGATACATGGGGCTCTGTTTCTGCCAATAACTTGGTCTATCTCCTGGTGTATGCGCTCTGTGAACAAGGAGAATATAAAGGAAATTTGGAACTCTGAGTGAACGTGTGTAATTTTGACTTGAAGTCATATGGAGTACTTGAGTTTTATTTACAGGTTAGTATTTCTCTTATTTCCAGTTATGTCTAAGGCGGTAGTATGAAATAGCCCATCATGAGATATTCTCCCATCCCCAAATAAACACAGAAAAAAAAACACTTCAGCAGTACACATATAGTAGAGTGTATTATTAAGACAAAACATGTGTTAGCACATTTTACTTCCTTATCCACTGGGGAATCTTCTACAGATCAAATGATAAATATGGAAGAACTTTTAATGCTGACTGACTGCATGTTGCCATAACATACCTACCTTCCACATCCGGGTGCTTGAGAAGGATCATCAGACCGTAACGTAGGGTAGTACTGACGGTTTCTGTGCCAGCCCCAAACATATCAAAGGTGGTGTTAATAAGAGCAGTCAAGTGAAACTCAGAGTTGGGATCAGCCTTTTCCTAGAATGACAAATACAGACATGATAAACTCAGCTACAGGAATTAATGTATTTCTCTGCAGAAGGCTCTGCCAGACTAAAGTTTGTCCACAATAACTGTCCGCAATACTCAGCAGAGCATTATATCAGCAACAACAAGTGAAGCAGATTATAATAAACTAATCTTACCTTCATCTCCGATCTAGATCTGGTACTCATCTGACAAACTAATGTTTAAGCCCCTACACCTATCAATGTACGATGTAGATGGTGTAAGTAGAGAGGTTTCTGAATATACATTGCACATATGCGACCTTTTAATAAGTTGCGGTTACCCCGATGGGTAGAGGGGTTTCCACCGCCAGAGAGCATCTTTCTCCCGAGTGTGAGGGGTATTACAGCATTCCAGGTAGTCTTCCAAGTAGAGAAGCTCTTACAAGAGCTAGTAATGGTAACTTTTTAGCAGTTTCCCCCAATAAGAGACAAGACTCTAGATTGAGGGTGAAGAAGGTCTGGTTTAATGGTAGCCAGTTCAGCTTTTTATGCAAGTCCCCAGCCAAGGGATACACCCATATAGACCTTGGTGAGGACAATGGTACAGCGTTATCAGCCAGTCATAACAGGGTTGTACAGTATGACACTCCCATACAGGACATGCAATCCCTCCCCCTGCCCAGGAGATAATTTAGTCAACTACTGTCTTTAACTCAATTATTGAAAAATATCACCATTTTAATACTTTCTGAAAATACCCCCAAAATACATAATATCCCATACTCAAAAATCACCCAGATCGGTTCAGGGGTTAAGGATTTGCATGGAGGTCTTCTTTCTGACTGACCGCACACAAAGCTCCTACCCAGAATAGTTCTATAGAATTAGACTGTGCGGCCGGTCTCCTTCCAGGATATTATCTTCTGCAACTGTCACTAGTTTAATACTATCCTTACCTTTTTGTGTCATTTTACCCCACTCCCTCTAGCATGTAAGCTCATTGAGCAGGGCCCTCAACCCCTCTGTTCCTGTGTGTCCAACTTGTCTGGTTACAACTACATGTCTGTTTGTCCACCCATTGTAAAGCGCTCTAAAAATATAATAATAATAATTAAACTAACATTTTTGAATGAATAAACTGTTCTCCTAGTCTTAGTGGTTCTGGAGGTATTATTACAGAACGTAGTCCATTTCATAACTATATTGCCGAACATCCGTGATGATGGACGTCTTAGCGGTGTTTGTGCCGTCGAGTGTCCGATTATAGAACGCCGACCACCCAGTCGACTGCTTAGAATGTTAGGGTGTTTGTGGTTTTTGAGGTGTTAAGAGAGTCAATGAGGTTAATGAGCACTACGCTCCAGATTTGGGTGGTCGGTCGTTCGGTAGTTCTTTCGATATTCGAACGGCAAATGGTAAAATAAGGCAGACTGTATTCCATTCGAACGAGAAGGCAAACAAAACATATACACTTTAAAATTCAGGGACAGAGGGTCTGTCACAGCAGTGACACAAGAAAAAAAAATCTGTACATTTGTATAATTAAAATTTAATCAGCTATTTATATGCAAAATAAATATATTATCTTAAATGTGTGAACTCACCTGCTGCATCTTTACAAGGAAGCAGTCAATAAAGTCTCTGGGAGAATTTGCATCCAGAGTCTCTTGGTGCATTTGAACTCTTTCAGCAATAAATTCCTGAATCTTATCTACTGCTTTGAAGAATGTTTTGTGGGGCCCTGGTAACTTCTCCAGAATTCTTGGATACACGTTGTACATCTGTTAGAGCATCAACATAAGGGGATACCTTTTAGAGATATGTTTTATGAGTCTTCTGGACAAATTTTCATTAAACTTGAGCTTCTATTTGCTGGTTTTGGGAAACCAATGCTCCAATCTTAGCCAGACCACTTCACCAGTAAGTGTTCTTAGGCAAGAGACCTAGCGTTATATATCCACCTACCTCACATCATCATAAATTGTAAGTTCATTTGAGCAGGGCCTTCTTCACACCTACATATAATTTCTCTAATTGTAAAGTGCTGCAAATATGCTAATAACAAGAATTATTTTCAACTTTGCCTCTGCTTTTGGTAGGTGGATACTCGAAAAATTAGAATATTGTGCAAAAGTTCATTTATTTCAGTAATGCAACGTAAAAGGGAAAACTAAAATGAGATAGACGCATTACATGCAAAGCAAGATAGTTCAAGCCGTGATTTGTCATAAGTGCGATGATTATGGCTTACAGCTCATGAAAACCCCAAATCCACAATCTCAGTAAATTAGAATATTGTGAAAAGGTACAATATTCTAGGCTCACAGTGTCCCACTCTAATCAGCTAAGTAAGCCATAACACCTGCAAAGTGTTTCTGATCCTTTAAATGGTCTCTCGGTCTGGTTCAGTAGGAATCACAATCATGGGGAAGACTGCTGACCTGACAGTTGTGCAGAAAACCATAATTGAGGTTCATAAGGAGGGAAAGCCTCAAAAGGTAATTGTGAGGGAAGTTGGATGTTCCCAAAGTGCTGTATCAAAGCACACTAATAGAAAGTTATGTGGAAGGGAAAAATGTGGAAGAAAAAGGTGCACAAGCAGCTGGGATGACTGCAGCCTGGAGAGGATTGTCAGGAAAAGGCCATTCAAATGTGTTGGGGACTTTCACAAGGAGTGGACTGAGGCTGGAGTCAGTGCATCAAGAGCCACCACACACAGACAGATCCTGGGCATGGGCTTCAGATGTCGTATTCCTCTTGTCAAGCCGCTCCTCAACAACAAACAACGTCAGAAGCGTCTTACCTCGGCTAAAGAAAAACAGATCTGTTGCTTAGTGGTCCAAAGTCCTCTTTTCTGATGAGAGCAACTTTTGCATCTCATTTGGAAACCAAGGACCCAGAGTCTGGAGGAAGAATGGAGAGGCACACACTGCAAGATGCTTGAAATCCAGTGTGAAGTTTCCATAGTCTGTGTTGATTTGGGGAGCCATGTCATCTGCTGGTGTTGGTCCACTGTGCTTCATTATGTCCAGGGTCAATGCAGACATCTACCAGGAGATTTTAGAGCACTTCATGCTTCCTTCCACAGATAAGTTTTATAGGGATGCTGACTTCATTTTCCAGCAGGACTTGGCACCTGCCCACACTGCCAAAAGCACCAAAGCCTGGTTCAATGACCATGGGATTACTGTGCTTGATTGGCCAGCAAACTCACATAACACAACACCTCAACAGTGCCACAGGCTGATAGCTTCCATGCCACGCCGCATTGAGGCAGCAAAAGGGGCCCAAACCAAGTACTGAGTCCATATGCATGCTTATACTTTTCAGAGGTCTGATATTGTTCTATGTACACTCCTTGCTTTATTGATTGCATGTAATATTCTAATTTACTGAGATTGTGGATTTGGGGTTTTCATGTGCTGTAAGCCATAATCATCGCACTTTTGACAAATCACGGCCTGAACTATCTTGCTTTGCATGTAATGCGTCTATCTCATATATTAGTTTCCCTTTTTTTGTTGCATTACTGAAATAAATGAACTTTTGCACGATATTCTAATTTTTCGAGTATCACCTGTATGTAAATATATTGATTGGCACAAAAATACTTATATATGTAATAAACCCCAAAATATATTATTTATACAGTGTACATCCATTGATACTTGATATACATTATAAGTTTGGTGGATACGTTCATTAGCACCATCGTGGGTTATTTACCTGTGCCCAAACTGAACTGAAACCTCTAAATATTTCATTAAAGAGACTGAGCAATGTGAGAAACTCCTTGCTTTCATATTCAAAACGATTTCCAAAAACCACAGAGGAGATTACATTGGATACAGCTTTGCTGAAAAAGAAGGTGGGATCCACTGGCTGACCTATGGGATCACAAATAAAAACAAAAATTAATAAAATAATACTGATTTACTAAACAAGATCTCAAAAACATAAAACCATTTCATACAAGTGGAAACCTGTCCTTGGCCACACTTTCCATCTTTCTAACTTTTCCAGTTTGGTCACTTGACCTTGAATTTGAAATTCACTGTGAATCCACTCTGAATTCTCTATTTAGTAAATAACCCTGAGATTGTATACATTATATAATATAATAAATACAATAACTCAAAGCTGGATCATTTGACTCTTTTTATGGATCTAACTAAAACAGGAATTTGTACAGTAAAAGTTTTGGTGTAATTAAGTACAATATAAAGCTATGCATTTATGGTAAAATATCACCATATTTTTTATGCACAACTAATAAATCATCAGTCAGGAAAGATCTGGAAATGAGATTCCTCCCTCTCCCTGACTAAGGATGCTATCACCCAGTGAAACTTCCTGTAATGTTTGAAGAAGGAGGTGAACTAACATTTTCAGCACCTTTTCTTTCATTATACCAGTCACTAGCGTCTTCTGGCAGAAAAATGTGTTCTTCTACAGGCTGGTAATCATAACTAGAGTATAAATTAAGGTGAGTGAGGCTTTCTGGACTAGATTGTATACTACAATTCTGATTTTGAGTGTCTCTGTCATCCATTTCTCCCAGCGCCACATCAAATTTGTTTTGTTACTTTGTATTGAAATGAAGACTTAATAAGGAACAAGGGTACAATATATAGAATGTTATGGTTGGAGTGATGTTTGGTAGATGTCTTGTCTATCTTTTGTGTGAATATACCTTTATAATAGTAGCTATGAAGGAACCATGAAATTCCTTTTGTTATGTATAATTAATAAACCAGAGAATCATTTATTCATTCTGCAGTCTTGATGTTGGAAAGTTCACTTACTGTTGGTTTTATGGAATTCCTTTGTGAGAAAATAAGCTTCTTCCTGGATCCTTTCCTCAATGCTCCTCTTTCCCATCCCAAAGTTTCTCAATGTCATCAGAGCGAATCGCCGAAGCTGCTTCCAACGCTCACCGTTACTGCCGACCACACCTAATGCATTTCAATCAAAATTATTCAACCGTCATTGAAAATCAGGTTTATTGTCTGAATTTACAGACTTTCAGCTGTTTGCAATAAAAAAATCAAACAAAAGCAATTGTGATAGCTCAACACAACAAATGCTTCAATAGGTTTCCCCAAATTCAACTGATTATACAACTTCTCCAGTCTGTCACGGAGTCTGTCCCTCCCACTGCAGGGTGACACGGACAGAAGAAGCTATGGGACACAGAGTCTGTCCCTCTCACTGCAGGGTGACACAGACAGAAGGAGTTATGGGACACAGAGTCTGTCCCTCCCACTGCAGGGTGACACAGACAGAGGGAGCTATGGGACACGGTGTCTGTCCCTCCCACTGCAAAGTGACACAGACAGAAGGAGCTATGGGACACGGAGTCTGTCCCTCCCACTGCAGGGTGACACAGACAGAAGGAGCTATGGGACACGGAGTCTGTCCCTCCCACTGCAGGGTGACACAGACAGAAGGAGCTTTGGGACACAGAGTCTGTCCCTCCCACTGCAGGGTGACACAGACAGAAGGAGCTATGGGACATAGAGTCTGTTCCTCCCACTGCAGGGTGACACAGACAGAAGGAGCTATGGGACACGGAGTCTGTCCCTCCCACTGCAGGGTGACACAGGCAAAAAAGAGCTATGGGACACGGAGTCTGTCCCTCCCACTGCAGGGTGACACAGACAGAAGGAGCTATGAGACACGGAGTCTGTCCCTCCTGCTGGAGGGTGACACAGACAGAAGGAGCTATGGGACAAGGAGTCTGTCCCTCCCACTGCAGGGTGACACAGACAGAAGGAGCTATGGGACACGGAGTCTGTCCCTCCCACTGCAGGGTGACACAGATAGAAGGAGCTATGAGACACGGAGTCTGTCCCTCCTGCTGGAGGGTGACACAGGCAAAAAAGAGCTATGGGACACGGAGTCTGTCCCTTCCACTGCAGGGTGACACAGACAGAAGGAACTATGGGACACGGAGTCTGTCCCTCCCACTGAAGGGTAACGCAGACAGAAGGAGCCATGGGACACAGAGTCTGTCCCTCCCACTGCAGGGTGACACAGACAGAAGGAGCTATGGGACACGGAATCGGAGACACAGACAGAAGGGAGCTATGGGACACAGAGTCTGTTCTTGCGCTTCAAGATAAAGTTTGTTCTCACCATGACCTCCAGAGCTTATCTTCTCTAGCAGTGGCATGTGCCCCCGGCCACTGAACACGTCTCCGTTGTCATTCAGTGCTTTTTTCACCACTTCATATCCACAGAGCACCACAACGCGCTCCACCCCCATGTAAATGGTATATACCGGACCGTACTGCTCTGCAAGCTGAAGGAAGGGATTAATTAGATTTATTACTCTTTTGTTATAAAATCATCTCGTTATTTGTAAATTTATCATTGTTCCTTGGTAATTCTGATTCTTCATGGAATCTTTTTTTAAAGATTTTTTGATCCTATAAACAATTGCAACGGTAATTCATAATGAGTGCATTTTGTGCAGAGTCCACCAGGTTGACATTCCGAATATTATTTTTTAAATTGTGTGCGAGCTGTACGATTTCATGGGCATGATTTAACAGATCATGGCAACAAGATATTAAAATTATTCTCGCAAGATAAGTAAACCGTGGGTATGATATAGGTAACTCGTGGCCATGATTTAATCCTATTGAAATGTGGTCCTAAAGGAGAAACACGTTCTCCACCAGACCTTCGACTAATAGATGTTACATACTCCGTCAGTGTACAGAGGCCAGCACTACTCAAGGTGTGCTGTGATGCTGAATATCAACCAGGAAGGGAAGAGTAAAGCTACATTTTCAAATCCTAATCCTTTGTTTTCATCAGGCTGCGGTATTTTTTGTATATAAGCACAATTCATAGTCACACTATAGTTATTTAAAATATATATATATTTAAGGTCTGCACTTACCATATGTAACTGAATTGACATTGGTTTACAGTAATATTTTAATAAGAATGCCAAGTGAGGGATTCTTTCTACTCTTTAATATTTTTGAAAACCATGAACAAATAATTATAAAAGTCTGTAAATTTATAACTATTATGTTTGATATTTATGTTGTCCTGCGCAGCGATGTATACAGATGCCTCCTATTCCCCTAATTTCATGTTAGCTATAAATTCCTTGTTAGAAATAAGTTATGATTTAATTAAAATAACTAATCAGTGCAAAGGTTAAGCGTTGAAGAAAAATATAATGTATATAGGAATAAAGTTCACAGTTGACATTCATTTAAATATAAATTGGCAGTAAAGTATCCTGCCTAACTGTACAAATATGTTTTCAGGATAATGCAAAGTTAAAAGTTCTTGTTGGGAGTTTGTTGTGTTATGTGAGACTGCCCCCAAATTTAAAGGGACACTGTAGGTAACCAGACCACTTCAGCTCATTGTGCTGCAATGTAAAACTTTGTAAAACATTGCAGTCCCAGATAATATATTAGACCCATTTATAACTGAGTTGTTCAGTGACAAAAGAGGACTCCATAGCATCCTAGTGCCTATTTCCCCCCTCGTCCCCCAAGAAAATATAATGCAGCACCGATGATCTCCCTGCAGGCCCATTCAGTGCAGGTGCTATCCAAGCGACGGCCCTGCTGTGTGCCTTCCTTGACTGGAGGGGTGATCAAAGATCCCCATCTCTGGCCAACAGGCACTTTATTGGGCAGCCGACAGGGGAGGGATAGAGGACCTTGGGGCCCAACCTACAGCTCAGCCAGGTTCTCCTCTTGTGAGCATTGCTGCAGCTATTATGGAGCTGCAGGCTAGAGTTCACTCTCCACTATGACCACCAGGGCTTCACCACTGGATCACCAGGGTGTCACATCCTGTTCCTGTTGCGGATCATTTCTGGCCTTGGCTTCTGATATCAAGTACCCTTTTTACAATTCTTGTTTAGTTTTTCTTGATTTTTCTGGTTATCTATTCTATGTCTGGTTTTCTTTATGCTGGGGTTTCTGGGTTCATTCCTTTATTCCATTCCTGGAATTCCCAGTCTCCTGGATTCCTTTAAATGTTTGTTTTTTTGTTGCCGCACCCGTTCCTTTGCCATTAATCCGTTTTGTTTCAGCCTGTACCTGCAAGCTGTGGTTTCATGTCCTCTGCTCCTTTCTTTGCAGGTAAGTGCTGTGTGTGTTTTACTGTTGTTTATTTAGTCATGCATATCTAGGCAGCTAGGACCCACCGTAATTAGAGTACTTTGGCGCAGTAGTGTGCTGCATACTTCTTGGCCATTTATCTATGTCTAAATCTCCAATGTTTATTATATATATAGTACTTAGTTATGTCTCCTCTTGTTTTGCCTTGTATCTCTTGTCTTGTTTTATTTTGTCTTGTATTCTCAGTTCATGTACAGTCCTGTCCTGTCCATGTCCTATTCTTGTTTCCCTCGTGTATTGTGTACATGTTCTGGGTTCTGCTTTCTGTCCTGCTCTGGTTCTGGGTTCTTCTAATCTTGTTGTGTTATCTTGTTTGATGCCTGTTTTAGTTTTACATTGTTTCTAGTACTTGATACATATCTGCATAATATCAAGCTCCTGGGATCCACAGAAGTGGCATCATGGCCCTGGTATGTGGCCGAACAAACCCTGGTGCTCAACACCAGGGTGCATGTGGTTACCCTGCACCAGACCCTGATAGTTCATTTCCACGCTGTGACTCCTACCACCATCACCTTCAATAAGATAGATGCATATTTAACCCTCTCATCTGTCCATCACACACAGCCAATGTGAGTTACAGAGAGTCTTGGGTAAGAAAAGTCACTCTCTTTATCAGTGGCGACTGGTGAAGTTTAACATGATGGATCGCTCCCCACCTCGACTTCTTAGGTTTTACCCATTTAACTAGCCCTTTGAGGTTCCATGACCTGTTCAAAACCAGGTGCATCTCAAGTCAATAAGGAGGAGAATGGAAACTGCAGATATAATCATGGCAGAAAAAACTACAAACAATCACATTTAAACATGATGGGAGTTTCTGATGTTTGGGGATCTAGCTGAACTCACTTCTGGGGACATTATAGCTGTTTTACACAATCAACAGATAAAAGGAATGTGCAAGACAGCAGGAAAATGCAAAGGTGTAAACTTGTTTAATATAAATAGGTCAGAGTGATACAGAATATACACTAAATATATACATTTATTTAGCTTTGATCAAATCCTAGGAATGAGAGATATTCTCAAACTTTAAATGAGGAGTTACATATTTATATACAAAATGGAAAAAATCTTTACGCATTCCTTTAAAAAGAACTGTACACTATATTGTATGTTTATACACTAAATAGTATAAATAAGGACATCGTAAAAATGTAAGAAAAAAATCTCAAATAGCCCTCAGGGTCCCTTATTGTGAAAGCGTGTTAGGCAGCCATCTAGGGCCCAGGCTCAGGACGGCCTAGGGCCCTATATAGGTCTGGAGCTCCAGCTCTGAGCGTGCCCTCTTTGAACCCTGCGATTCCTCACTTCGTCCCTAATATCGTTGAGCGACTATGGTCAGTACACATATTAGGCACAAACTGCTTTAAGAGTGACCTTGCGTCCCCCCGGTGCATCTAGATGACTTTGAATGCCACAGTCGGTGCTGTAAGTCAATAACTGAGTGCTGGAACCACAAATGAGGTCTGTACCTAATACTGATATAGACAATGGAGCTTCCCCACACACAACACTCAGACTCTTCTGCGCACACACACTGAGGCACACTCAGATTTCCCTATGCACACACACTCAGGCACACTCAAATTCCCCTGCACACACACACTCAGTCACACTCAGATTCCCCTGCGCACGCATGCAAACACAGACACACACATAATCCAGTCACTACAGAGACACAATCAGCTCTCCTCCAACAGCTCTCACCCTCTTCCATAGACAACACTTTTACACAGACACTACTCACAGAAACGGAGCCCTGTGCTCTAGGAGGGTCCCCCTATCTGGCACCCTGCCAAAGGCCCTGGGAAACCTTAACCTTTGAGAGTGATACATTGTATTCAGATATCCAAGCAATAAAAAAATGAATGCTTATCAAAAGAAATATCTCACTGGAATATATTATTTGCTAGCTAGCCATGAATTACCAATATAAAATATAAATAATATGTCTAAAATGTCAATAATTGAAAGTCTTCTAACTATTTCACATTTGAAACATAGTACACTCTAGTAAGATTTTATCTCATTTTATTTTTTTGAAGAATTACTCACCTTAATAAAATGCTTGAAAGCCTCTTTTTTATTGAGCTGTAGAATATTTCCCAGAAAAGGCAATGGAGTGGGACCAGGGGGCAACCTCGACTTGTTCTGTTTCTTGCCTTGAGATAAGTTAAAGAGCAGGAAAATCACACAGAGTATTAGTAGCAGGGTTGTAACTCCAAGGAGCTCCATTGTGGGGCTACTCTGCTTGACTAATATTATATCCGTGATTAATGCTGGTATTTATACAGGTGATCTGACAAAGGACTGAGTTTGGAAACTTGCCTGACAGCTTATCTGATATTTAATTCTCTGATGACTGAAAGGTGAACTCTTCTCCTTGCCAAGTAGGTACACAACACCAAATCAGCGGCATGCATATTTTAATAACGTATAATATATTTTCTAACGTAGGGCTATTTAAATTACTTTCACATTACTTGTTTTTTTCTTCTATATTTGCATAGTACTTTTTTTGTTGTTGAAATTCTTTATTTGTGTGCATGAGTTAACACAGCAGCTTACACCGCCACAATAGCATTTGTAAGCACGGTAATATCAAATTTTTTATGTAGATAGACTCACAAGCGATGCTTATCCAGCTAATGATTATGCATAACAATTACATTTGGAACATAATGATATAGGCTTGATTATTACGAGTTAAAGCAGTTGTATGACTGGCACAAATGTTTGTGTTATGTGCGTGGGGGAACATCATGCAAGTTAGGTGAATCTGGGGTAGTTTAATGTATGTGTAGCCCCTCTGTGAGCATAGTGAGACATTAGCGTTATACTGAACGTTGTATAAATGATTAGCTAAGGAACGTGTCTGTGTGCTATCTGGGGATACCCATTGCGCTAGGTAGTATGTGAGCAAGGGTTGCAAGCAGTGGGTGCCCTGTGGTCTCTGTATGTTTGGGTATTAAGACACTTGTGCTGTTGCGTTCATGGTAGGCTGCGGGCTGGTTAGGTGTTTCTTTGCAGTGTATATATAGTGTTCCTCGGGTGTTTAAAACCTGGGTTGCTCCTTAGTAGTGTAGTTTGTGAATATAGAAATGCACGTCACCAGACAAAACAACCTAAACAGTAAAAATGATAAAAACATAACCATTTGTTGCATAGTAATTTTTTCCCTTTATTACCATATACTTTTAATTTATTATTTCTTAAGTCAACTGAAATGTTGGTTCATGAAAAGCTATATTTTTACAATTTGCAGAGTTCTAAATAAAAAAAAAACAATATTTTCCTTGATTTCATAACTATTTTAACCATTTCTTCTCATATCAGATTTTGTTTCATAATAGTTTATGAATAAATATAATTTTTAACATTCTTAATATCGTTTCAACTCCGTCCTCAAGACGGTTTTCTCCCTCTGTCCTCCTGTTATTTAAACCAATCACACTCTCTGTAATTACACAGCATCTTACTTGCCTTTTCTTCCCTATCGAGTGGGGTGAAATGTTGTTTGTCTTTATCCTAAAATATTTTTTAGATTTATTAGGATGCAACAATTCACCAAGGAATAACAAAACCAATAAAAGCAAACAAACAAAAAGAAGCAAACAACCCCCAACCAAACAACGGTTTTGGTGAAGATAAGGATATTTATTTATGAAATATTTTACCAGGATGGATACATTGAGATTTCTCTCATTTTCAAGTATGTCCCGAGTCAACAAAACATTCCATTGATACAACAGGATACAATAAAATACAAAAACAATATTAACACACAATATGTACAAAATGTAATATAGAACAGGTAGGAAATTTATAATAAACCATGACACGTGCATTCTGTTTTGAGGTATGTAGAGAGGGATCTATTAAAGGACTTTAGGCTTAGGGAAGATTATAAATTGTGCGGGAGGTCGTTCCACAATTGCGGCACTCTGTAGGAGAAGGAGGATCGGGCCACTTTCTTTTTGTATTGAGGTAGACTAAGTAAAGTGTTGGTACTGGATCGGAGATTATAGGAGGTGGGAACAGCTGGGGTAGGGCGGGAGCTTCCCAGAAAAGCTGTTAAATACAACGCTGGAAAGATGAAGGGTGCGTCTGGATTCCAGCGACAACAAGTTTAGTTCTTTTAGCATGTCACAATGGTGGGTCATGTAATTACATTGTAGCACAAATCGGCAGAACGAGTTATACAATGTATTAAGTTTATTAAGGTGGCTTTGCGGTGCAGGTGCATATACTGTATCCCCATAATCAATGATTGGCATCATCATTTGCTGTACAATCTTTTCCTTTACAGTAGGCCTTAGGCAGGATTTGATTCTGTACAGGGCACCTTGTTTTGGATAAAGTTTAGATGCAGGTTTTTCTATGTGGAGGCCAAAAGATAGATTGTGGTTGTGATGAATGCCCCTCTGCCTGGATGTTCGCTACGGGCTCCTGGAGGAGTGTGGACACTAGCCTCCTGCCATATACAAAGACTCTCTCCAACCGCCATTAGTGGCTTGCCCTGGGTGTCCCTGATTCAGCACTTTCCAGAGCTAGAAAATTAACCAACTTGACCGGACATCTTCAAGCCAACCCATTGAGGTCTAGGCGGCTTTGCCGTCCATTGGAACTGTGGAGGAGCTATGTGACAAAACCCCTATTTTGCCTTCCCAGGAACCATTCTCTTGCTCCGTTCGGGTCAAATAATTGACTTCCATGGAAATCTCGAACCCCTCAACCGATCTGGGTGATTTTTGGATATGTTGGTGACCCAGATCGGGGCTATCAATGGATGTAACTTTTGTGGGGTTTTCATGTGTTGGGGTGTTTGTAAAATTGTATGTTTTTCTGTGCATGGAGATAATTAAGTTTGTACATTTCCTGACTCAATTATCTTCCAGGCACAGGGGAGGGATTACCCTGTTTTGTGTGGGAGTGTCAGGGGTGTTTTTTCTGTGTCATTGTACTGCATAAAAGCCGGCCATTGAGCCTGGAACATGGCTCCCAATCCCCCAAACATGAAGTCTAGGCTCATGTTTGGGGGATTGGGGGCCATGTTCACACTTATAATCACTATGGCGCTTGGGACTTGGGAGATTCTTCCCAGATGTGGCAAGTGGTGGGATTTTTCTCACAAATTGATATCCCAAACCAAGAAGCGGGGTGTTTGTAAATTGTATGTTTTTCTGTGCCTGGAGATAATTGAGTTTGTACAGTTCAGATCATCTTACCCCTTCATGAAGTCCAGGCTCATATTTGGGGGATTGGGAGCCATATTCACACTTGTAATCACTACTACTTCTAATTACTACTGTGCTTGGGACTTGAGAGATTCTTTGTGGATGTACTCAGCTGGAGTATAGGGATCCGTTATAGGGGTCTAACAACATACCAGGTATTTGAAAGAGTGGACTGCGGTCAGTGTGCTATTTGATTTTTTGATGCATAGATGGGAATTTTGTAATTTGTGTAATTTAGGTACTGTTCCAAAGATCATTGTGACAGTTTTGTCAGTGTTCAGGAAGAGTTTGTTTTTTGCGATCCACTTTTCTACCTCTGTAAACTGGTCTTGGAGCACAGCCTCAAGTTGCGATAGATCGGATTTGCTTGCATAGATTACTGTGTCTGCGTACATGTGTACATTTGAGGATTTGCAGACATTAGGCTGATCGTTTATAAATAATGTAAATAGTAGGGGGCCGAGAATGGAACCATGGGGAACACCACACGTGACTGGGAGAAGTAGGGGGTCGCTGTCAGAAACGGACACATATTGCGATCGATCCGATACAAATGATCAAAACCAGGTTAGTGGACAATCACCAATATCTGAGTTTTTGAGTTTGTGCAGTAGAATGCTGTTGTCTACTGTGTCAAAGGCCTTTGCAAAATCGAGGAAAATAGCTCCAGTTAAGTCTCCTTGTTTCATGTCAGTTTGGATGTCATTGAACTTTTAAGAGTTGTAGTGGAGGGATTCTGGTGAAAACTTGATTGATCATGGGTCAGATAGTTAGATTGTTGGTAATACTCACATAGTTGCGTATGGACACATTTTTCTAAGATTTTTGACAATACTGGGAGCAATGATATTGGGCGATAGTTAGAAACCAAAGTAGTGTCACCACTTTTATGGATAGGCACTACTCTCGCAGTCTTCCAAAGTTTGGGTATATATCTAGACACTAAAGATGTCAAGTTCCCTGCCCCCATGCCGCTCGCGGCGACCTTGCTTACCCCGTCACCGTGAGTGGCATCATCTGGTCCCTGTCTGCGGTGTGTGGCTGTCCCCGCCACTGTGCTCCAGACTGGCAGTGTGTCTGATGCTGCAAGCTCCAGAGCAGCATCCTTATATGTCTGCCGGACCCGGTCATGTAACCCGGCACACAGTGAGGACCTCAGAGACCACGAGAGAAGGAAGAAACTCCTCCTACATGTTGTGGGTAACACTAATTGGAAGTTAGACAATTAGACACACCCTGTGTGTATATAAGCTAACCTCCCCCTTGCCTCAGTGCCCTGTTTCAGTTTACCATTGAGTGTTACACTGTATTTGGATTTTCTGGTTACTGATCTCTGGCTTGTTTTAGGATTATTCTGTCCTCTCTATCCCTGACCTCGGCTTGTCTCTACATTACTCCGTCTCTCTGTATTCCCTTGACCTTAGCTTACTTTGACTATCTTTTTTGCATAGCCCGGCCATTATAAGGACTGGTATTGCAAATCTGTTGTGTCCTGTCTACGTGTTTGGTTTCCCTAGTGAACGTTACAAAGGATTCATTAAGTAGGGTTGTGACAGGTTTAGCAATTGCCGGTGCACTGAGCTTCAACAGCAATCCTGGGATTTGATCAGGTCCAGACTGGTTTTTCATTTTTAAATGGTTAAGGTGTTTCTTAATGACACTAATAGGTACAGGTCTAAAATTGAACTACTCTATATTGGACTTTGCAAATTTAGTGGGGCCTGATCCACTTTTGTAGTTTCAAGATGTGTCATCTATTAGCTTGGCAATCAGGGTGGTGGAGCATCCAACAAAATAATTGTTAAAGGCGTTTGCTACATCTAAGGGAAGTTGCAGGATTTGGTTGTCCACTTTGACAGAGGAGGGTTGGGAGTGGATTTGGGGAGTTTGTAAGTTATTTATGACTTTCCAAAGTTTCTAGGGTTTGAGATGTTATTGTTCAGATTTTCACAGAAATATTGGGCCTTGGCCAATTTTGTTTGTTTTGTGCATATATGT